GTACAAGCTTTTTGTGTGAAATAGGTTTTGTTTCGCTTGCGTATATACCTGGAGGCAGAATTGTTGATCTGATGATAACTCTCTGTGCCACCTTTTGAGGAACTGCCAGACTTTTCCAAGCGGCTGTACCATTGTCTGCCTCCAGCAGTGCACAAGGTTGTGCTCATTTGCTGCGACAAAGCGTGAACTTGGTGGCTTAAAACAGCACAAACTCATCTTCTCCTGGTGGTGGAGGCCAGACAGACACCCTCAGTCTGTCCCATGGGCTGAAGTCTGGGTGTCGGCCATGCTGGCTCTTCCTGGCCGCTCCAAGGGAGGATCTGCTCCTGGCCTGTGGCGCCCTCACTCTGTCTCTGCTTCATTGGCCACTTGCCTGCTTCTCTTCTGCAGTGAAATCTCCCTCTGCCTCCCTCTCATAAGGACTCGAGATGAAAATTCAGGGCCGCGCAGATAATCCAGGATAATCCCCATCTCAAGATCCTTGATTTAATGGTATCTACAAGTCTGTCTGGGTTATTTCTGCTTTATCACTTTGGATAACATCCTGATATCCTTGTACTATGTCGCCTAGCCCCTGAGAAAATTTACCCAAAGAACTGATTTGTACGAAGGAGGCGCAGCATCGTTTTATGGGGGTGGGGGTGGTCTGCTGCCAATCAGGCCCCCCCTCTATTTGCCCTGCCATGGCTGCTCAGACAGAGGGAGTCTGCTCTCCTCTGCCCACATCCCCCCGACAAGGTGGCAGTAGAGCCGGAGCTCGGCTGGCAGGGACTTTGTGGGGCTGGGGCTCTGCAGGGACGCCGGGGGGGGCCTCTCGACTCCTGACCCAGCTGATGGACAGTTCAAGTGAGTGCTGGATAAATTTATCCTGTTCTCGTTGGATGTTTTAAACTGTACGGGGAAGTTGATCAGCAGTACATGAACCTGGGAGCAGACATTCATCATTAATTACATAGGTTGCTGGTGTTTGTTTAAAGGAAGTTCAGGCCCTACTGCAGCCTGGGGTCTCTGACTTCCCACTCGGGGTCAGAGTAGCTGGTGCTCAGTGAACGGTGCTGCAGGGGCAGTCAGCAGGACTGTGCTGCCTGAGGCCAGCCTGGAACGCCGGCCCAGAGCCCCCGTGCAGACCCTGCAGGAGCACACTCTTGTGGCCCCCCCATTGCACGTGCACAAAGCAGGGCTCCCATGCGCGATGTCCGACTTGGGCTGGCTCTGCGGTGTCTTGGCCTGGAGAGGCCTTCGCTTGCTCTCCATTACCCAGGAGGGTGGGTGGCCCCTCCCTGCAGGGCTCAGCCCTCATCTGCACGTGACTGTGGCTTTTGTGCCCATGTGGACGGCGGCTCCCCCCAGGCTGTATCTCGTCTCCTCGCATCCCCTCCCACGTCACCTTGGGGACCAGGGCTGAGCCACACAGGGCGAAGGCCGGGGCAGAGGTGAGCACAGGCGGCCGAACCCAGCTGCACTCGCACTCAGCAAGTGAGGAGCCGCGTGTGCCAAAGAGACGCACCAAACCGCAGCATGCCTTCGTGAGAGTTTACTTTCTTCCTCAGCAGCTATTTTGAAATATCTTTTTCCACAGTTGTATGATTTCTGTAAAATCGGACATTATGCGTGTACCTTGCCCGCTGGGTTATCATGGGGAACCAACTGGCTCCATGCAGCGCTCTGTGGGGATGTGGAGCCGGTCCGGGACCCGAAGGGACCTAGAAGGTGAAGTGCAGGTGTGAGGTGCTTTCACTGTGTGTCTGCCACCCCCCACCCACCCCCGGGCCCCAAGCAAACCAGCTGTAAGAGGTCGAGCCTGGTGTGAATGGAGAAGTAGGTCCCCTTGCCAGCTCCTGCAGCTCCTTGTTGTAGTTGGCAAAAGGCCACGTGTTCTGTGATGCATGCAGTGGGAACCTAGGTGCAGCAAGGAATTTTTCTGCACTTTTCTAAATTTTTAAAGCACTTAAATGCAATTCAAACAAGGCAAAAAAAGGTCATGCTTTAAGAAACATGGCCATGACTGTTTTACCTGAGCATGTTCATCTGTCTGATTGAACTAGAGATGAAGCCACCTTCTACCCCCACCTTTAATCTGTCCCAGGAAACAGCAGTTGCACGTGTCTGCCTATTTGAGTAACCTTACTGAGGAGTAATTTGCTGACAGTGAATCCGTACCTCCGTGTACAGGCTGGTGAACTTCAGGTGTGCATAGGGGACACCCAACTTGGGGGGTCGGCTGCAGAGCACCCCCTCCCCACAGAGTTTCCTCAGGCCCCTTTGCCAGGGACACCCCCGGCCCCAGCCCCGGGCTGCCTGGGGTCTGCTTTCTGTCCCTACACTCTGGCTCTTAAGAATCCCTTGTGGCTGGAAGCCTCCTGTGTGGCTCCCTGTGTTTGTCTGGCTCCCTTAGCAAATGCCTTTTGGGGTTTGTCTGCATGGTTGAGCTTCCACATTTCCTTCATTTTCGTTGCTGCTGACCCGGTTCTCTCCTTCCAGTTGACGAAGTCGGGGACACATCCTGGTTGTGGCCGACGCGTGATGCCATGAATGTCCACGTACAACTCCTGTGTGTGCACATGAGCTTTCCTTTCTTTTGGGGCTGGAACTGCTGGCTCACTCAGCATGTGTGTGTTCACACTCATGCGGCACAGCTATGCTGGTGCAAGGCGGCGGGCACCTCATGCCCACAGATGTGCAGCCTGCAGGAGTTCAGGCTCCCCTACATGGCATTGCCATGGACATTAGAGGGTGCGGTTCACTGCATTTCCCTGGTGGCCAGTGATTTTGAGTATCTTTTCTCATGCTTATTCCTTGAATATGTTCATGCATATTCCTCGGTGATGGGTCTGTTTGTGTCTTCTGCCCATTTTTAATCAAGTTGTCTGTCCTCTTATTATAGGCTGTGAGAATCTTTATAGCTTTGGTTTACAAGCCTTTTGTCAGGTGTTTTGTGAATGTTTTTCAAAGATGAAAAACGTTTTAATTCTCACAAAGTTCACTTTATCATTTTAAATATCTTTAATAGATTGTGCTTTTTGTGTTCTGTTTGGGAAATCTTTGCCTAACCAATGCCACAAGTATTTTCTCCCACGTTTTCTTCTAGAAGTTTGATGGTTTTACCTCTTCTATTTAGGTCATGTACACATCATGAGTTTATTTTTCTGCCTGATGTGGGGCTGAGGTTCATTTTCCGGGCAGACAACCCATTCCAGTGCCACCGTTTCGGAAAGGCTCTTCGATGTTATTACAGGCGCTGCGTCCTCGGCTCATGGAGCCTCCCTCCTTTTCTCCCTCCGGCCGCCCGTCCTTTCCCCTCACTCTGGGCCATTCCTCTTGGGGTCTCAGGTTCGCCGACCTTCCCTTCTGCGGTTGATCCCTTTGGTGTCTCTCCACCGCGGACCTCGTACTTGTATCTCCAGGATGGATTTGGGTGCACCTCTGTTCAACACGACCAGTCTCTCTCTAGTTTCTGGAACACGGAGAAACAGTAACTGTTGAAGTCCTTGTCTCCTTATGTTACCATTGGTCATTTCTGGGTCTATTTCTGTGTATGATTTTTCTCCTCATAACAAGTTGTTTTCCTGCCCCTTTGCCTGCCGATAGCGTTTCTCACTGGATGCCCAATTTTGTGAGTTCTGCCTTTCTGGGCACTAGATTTTCTTTTTTATTCCAATAAACATTCTCGAGCTTTGTTCTGAAACAGTCTGTTGTGCAGAAGCAACTCAATATTTCTCAAGTTCACTTTCAAGCTTCTTGAGGTGGGGTGAGGGCCCTTAGCCTGGGACGAGGGCCGCAGACTTAACTCGGCACTCTCCCTGGCACCCTGGGCACACAGGCTTTTCCCTCTGCCTGGCAGAACTGGACACGATTCCGCGCCCTGCACGAGCCTCTGGGATTGCTCCTCCATCCCCTTGGGTCCACTCTCTGGGGTTCCTTTTGCCCGCCAGGCCTGAGAGCGCCCCCCCTGGGGACCCAGGAAGCCCTCCCAGGCCATGCTCCCTCCCCCGTGCTTGCCCCGCAGAGCCCGCTGTCCTACCCTCTGCGGCCTGCCTTCCCTGGGTCCTCACTCGCATCCGTCACCACCCCGTGTTGCTGGCACGCTGAACCCGAGGGTCACTGTTGCCCACATTTTGTTCATGTTTTAGCTGTTCCCGGTGCCTGTAAACTCTGTCCCCGTTACTCTGTCTTCTCCGGAGGCAGAAACGCCTAGCAGAGTCGTAACGAAATATGGTCGGCACCAGACAGGCGTGGATCTGTAGCCAGGCACCACCTGACTGTATGATCTTGTCATTTTGGCTGCATTTTTAAAAACTATTAAAACATTACAGGTTCTCTCTTCTCCAGGATCTCGTTGTTTCCTTGCCCTTCACAGAGGCAACCAGAGTTCTATGTTTGGTAATTATCATTCGGGTGTGGATTTTAGATTTTTTTATACTATTACTAACTACACTGGTGTGCACATCTATTAATAGTATTATCTTGAAGATTTAAAATATCATACATGTTGTTCTTCACTTTTATTATTTCATTCAGCATTTAAAAAATGCTTACCCACATGACACGTGGCTTTAGCCAGAACGTATACTCCACGCGACAAGGACTGATTCACCAGTGTGTCCTGAGTACCTGGGACAGGTGCCTGGCTCATGACAGACACTCAGGAAATACTTGTTCAGTGAATGAGTTGAAGTGATGTGCAGTGTTGGTGTGAATAATTCTTCAGTGTTTATTCTTGAATGTGTAGGAGTATGAATAGCGCTGTAGTGGAGGCTCGTGTGTGTGTCTGTGTGCCGGTCCGGGACTTTGTGCAGGTCCAGGGTAGGCACCCCCAGACCTGACCGCATGTTGCTGAAGTATGCTGTGGCAACAGCTGCCAGTTTGCACTCCCACCCCAGTCTCCACGTCCTTACCAGCACTTGGTATTATCAGCTCGTTTAATTTTTGCCAACCCTGTACATGTGAAATTGCATTTTGTTTTACAGCTTTTTAAAAATAATGTTTCATTTCTGCAATAGAAATTCAATGTCTTCGTTCCGTCCCGGGAGAGGGCATAACGACAGTCGGAGGAGTGTGTTCTACACCAGTGAGGAGTGGGAGCTCTTAGACCCAAACCCCAAGGACCTGGAGGAGCGGGCGGCGCAGGAAGGAAACAAGAGGCAGAGCCCCGAGGGCGGCAAAGGTAGGCCCAGGCCTCACCCTCCGTTCCCACCCCCACCCACTGTCTGTGCCCCCCGCCCTCCCCTCCCTACCCTCTGTCACCCTCTCCCTGCCATCCATTGACCCCAGGTGCAGACGCCCTTCCATGGATGGTTCCAGAAGGCCTAGTGGGGTTTGTGTTCTCTTCGGCTTGCAAAATTAGATGTTACAAGACATGATCAACTGTCTAGTCCTCTGGTTCTTAAACTTCTTTAGGAGATAGACCATCCAGACGTCATGCTGCTCATTGTAGAAATACTGGTTTAAAAAATAAACGAAGTCTTTTTAGTTACAAAAATTGGTAGCATACACGGAAGTGGAATATACAGTGTCACGGTGGTGTGCCGGCTCTGCCCCCACAGCTGTGAACTCTGGCCTCTCGTCCCCTCTGCGCCCAGTCTGAGCCCCTGCCCCCGGCCCCCTGCCCCCTCCATCGGCTGGTTACTGCGCCGTGAGTCCCACTCTAGTTGCCGCGTCTGTATTTCAGTCTCGCTGAGAGATGGTAACTCTTCCTAACCAGTTCTAACTGCAGCCTGATTCTCACGCCTGAGGCCACTGCAGTGAGGCCCCTTTATCCGGGTCCCTTGCCTTTCCCAGTCCCTCGCTTGCTGAAGGAACGGGGTCCTCGTGCCAAGGACTTGCTCGCGTTCTGAATTTGCTCATTTTATTTCTGTGGGTCGTCCATCTGTGTATTTCCTGTGTACAGGTCACTAGAGCAGAGGCCTCCCAGACTGAGGGCTGACTTTTTATTGGGACTGGAGCCCTGTGGGGTGCGGGTCAGGAGGCTCTGCGTTCCCTGGTGCGTCCCCTCTGAAGTCACCATGTCTGGTTCTCTCTGTGATGCTCAGACCCATCGGGGTCCAGGGCTGCCAGCCGGACCCACACACCGTTCTTGTCAGCCTTCTGCCTGGTACTCTAAGCTGTCGTTCGTGGTCCCACATCCATTTGGCCATGGAGTGAATGCTCATGTTCTAAATGTAAAGTAAATCGTGAAATACTGCCTTGGGCCTGGTTCCTGCAGGGGTGGTGGGAATTGGAAGTAGGGTTTTAGGAAATCTTTTGGGAGCGTGAGTATTTACTAAAGGAAACTTTTTTCATCCCCTGGGAAAGAACCCACATGACTGGCTTTGAGGGGGTCTCACCCACTCACCCATGTCCCCAGGACGGTGGAGTGGAGCGCCTGCCCAAGGCCACCAGGTGCAGACCAGGGCCCTGCTCAATGCCTGGCACAGCCCACGGGAGTCACCAGGAGCGGGGCTCGTGGCCTGGGGGTGTCTCTGGAGGGCGGGGTCAGGTGTTTGAAGAGGAGCTTTGCCATCCTGAGCTCCTGCAGAGCCCAGAAGGTGAGGAGGCTGCCCTGAGGCTGCAGTGGCCTGGGCCAGCAAGAACCCCCCACCCCCAGAGGACTTTCTTGGCCCCTTTGTGGGGAGCCCACGGGGAAGATGCAGAGAGACAAAGGTTTCTCTGGGCTTTACCCTTGCCCGACGCATGGATGTTTCCTGTATGGGCCCCAGCAGTAAGCCCCCCGGCTCATCTGTGTGGTTCACAGGACGGGAACGGGTTTTCACAGTGAGCACACCCTGTGGCCAGGGCTTCCTTAGGGAAACCGGACAACACGGTCTGTCCCACAGCCGGCCCCATCCCCGCATCCCCTTCCATGATGGCCCCCAGGGGTGACCTGACTCCCAATGGCGTGGATTTCTTTTGTCTGTTTTCTAAATTCTGTAAATGGATCATAGTCCTTCATGTCTCCTTTGTATCTTGAATACGTATCTGGATCCATCTATGCTGAAATTTACTTGGGTCCCTCAGCGTGTTTAAATGCCTGTTTTTAAGAAGAGCATATAGTGATGCTTTGAAACATGCTTACAATTAGAAAAACACACATTTGGGGTTTTTGTTTGGTTGGTTTTCGACCAAGATCAGCAAAAACAAGAAGCCAGGGAAGCCGAGCCTGCCCAGGCCCTGCCGCGGGCCTGTGCTGACTGACTGGCCCACCCCCAGGGGGAGGGACATCTTGCTGGCAGGAGGCTTGGGGACTCACCCAAGCACTTTCTTCCCTGGCCTGTGTGTCTGTTCTCTTTGGTCCTGAGGGTACCTGAAATGGGAAAATGAGAAAAAAGAGAAAGTTTTCCTTAAGAGAGATCATGATACAGTCTTACAGAGACGGACTTGGGGGCGTGGCCTGTGGGCTTGGCTTGGTCATTTTCAAGAACCGGGAGGAGCAGACAGACGCCTGCCCCCCTGTGTCCTCTGGGCGATGCACGCAGGGCTCCGGCTCCTTGGAGGACAACATGTCAGGTGCTCACATGTTTTATTGGAGAAACCAGAAGGGAGATTTGGCCTGCGTGTAAGAAACAAGTTTTGTTTTCATGTAGGAGCGACTGGCTCAGGATTTCCCTTTGATTTGGGACGTATTCCCTACAAAGGAAAGCGCCCTTTGAAAGACATGATTGGTTCCTACAAAAATCGTCAAAGTGGTGGCGACCCGTCCACTGAAGGGACGTCAGGCCGTGGCGGTGCCAGCATGCCGGCCCCAGAAACACAGCTGCAGGCGCAGAGCCAGCAGGAGGAGCTGGAGCAGTTGAGGAAAGACCTCGCCAGTCAGAAGGTATGTGTCCTCCCCCGGGGGCAGGGGACCGAGGGCCAGAAGAGCAGAGCCCGCCTTCCTGTTCCTCTGAGTGTTCCATCGCCTGGAGGGTGCTTGTGCCCTAAGGGTTTATGTTGCCGTGGCCTCCGTGATGCGGCTGCTCTGCTGGCCGTGTGTTCAGAGACACTGGGATTTCCCGGGAGAGCAGGGACCCTGCGGCGAGGGTCGGGAAGCCACTCCCGCAGCCCCGCAGCCCTCAGGAGGGGCTTCAGCCCAGCGCCCGTTAAGTTAGCCTTTGTAAGAGTTCCTGCATCCTGTTAGACAGGGTTCCTTCTAAGCTAATCAGACTGACTGCACTAGACCACTTAGCGGGCCGGGCGGGTGGGCTCACATGTTCTTACAGACGGATGTTTACCGGGAGGCGTAGCTAATCACCGTTTGCCTGTTCACTCTCCCGTTTCCTGTCCCTGTTCCCTGCAGACGGTCTTTATGGGGCACCTGTTTTTTCCTCTGTTTTTGAGATCCTCCGAGAGGAAGTTGGGTATAAAGTGTTTCCAGTAAAGGGTCTGCCTTTCCTCTGATTCCAGCGATGGCTCCGGGGAGAGTTGTCACGGTCTCTGCTTTTCCTCCCTCCCTGGCTATCTGCCCCCCACCCTGTCCTTGGCTCCCAGGAGCTTGTTCGGCTCCTGCAGCAGACCGTGCGGTCGTCCCAGTACGACAAGTACTTCGCCAGCAGCCGGCTCTGCGAGGGGGTTGCCGGGGACACGCTCGAGCTTCTGCACCGAAAGGACGACCAGATCCTGGGCCTCAGCAGCCAACTCGAGAGGTTCCGCCTAGAAAAGGAGAGCCTCCAGCAGGAGGCAAGGGCCCTGAAGGGCAAAGTGGGCGACCTCAGCGAGCAGCTGGGCATGCTGATGGAGACCATCCATGCCAAGGACGAGGTGATCATCAAGCTCTCGCGGCAGCTCAGCGAGGGGGAGGGCGGTGCGTCTTCTCCCACCTCTGCGCCCACCTCCCCGTTGGCCGCACCTGCCCCCAGGGACCTGCTGGAGCTGGACCGGCTGAAGGTGAGGCAGGGCGTGGGCGCTGGCTGCTGGGACTGCCTGCCCCCCGGTGTCTCTGGAGCGCGGGCCTCCTCTAACCTGGCATGACAGCAGAGTGCTGTGCCTCCTTCTTAAGGAAGTGTAATGACTTACAGGCAAATAATTAATAGTTTTCCAGGAAGCCTCCTTGGAAATTGCAAGGCTTAGTCCAGGGGTGCTGCCGTGGCCCGGAATGGTTTTGGATCGACCCCGCCCTGCTCTCATGCAGCCCACCCTTCCCTTCTTCTTTTCCTATCCCTGAACACCGTCATTCCTGGGCACCCACAGGTGGCTTCTTGGCACTTCTGATCTGGAGCACACATGACACCATTTGCACAGCCTGCCTGGGACCCAGTGGGGCTGGGAACCCTGGCCCCAAGCAGGCCTGGGAAGGTGCCCCAAGCTGGGGGTCCTAAACCCCGAGGATGCACACAGAGCTCTCCCCCCAGGCCCCTCTGTGGGCTGCCCTGGGGAGGCATGCTGATTCCTGGGAGGAGGTGACTCTCCTGGTCATTCTTCGGTGGTGAATAGCTCGAGGCAGGAGTGTCCTTGTGCCTGTGGAGAAGCCTGCCAGTCGCGGGGCAGCGCGGAACAGCCTCAGGCCACTGACATGCAGTCCCGAGAGAGGGTCCTCAAAGTCCTGCTGCCCCTGAGCTGGACAAGTTCCCAGTAGAGAAGTGTCCCCTGGGATATGGGTCCCACCTGGCCCCAAAGTCTTCCTCACCTGTTCACCCTGTTTTGCAAGTAATTTGGCACAAAGGGTGTTTGGCCCCCAAATATAGTTTATCCCCGCAGGCAGAGGTTCGCCTCTGCTGACACTCCTGCGTATCGGCGTATTGTATATTTTTGTATATTATTGTTGCATTTTGCAACAACTTATTCAACATCAGCTAAAACCTGTATTTTGCAAGCTTGTCTATTTTGCAGCATTAGAGGCTAACACGGGCGTTCCCAGGCACAGGGGCTGGGCGGCATGCCCAGACCTTCTCAGCTGAGCAGGGGCTGAAGGGGGGCCGCCTTGTGGATGGGCTCAGCTCCTTTGGGATGTAGCCAACAGAGTTCATCAGACTGGACTTTTTACCCTTTTCTTTATGGGCTGGTTTGGAATCATTTTATGATTTCATGACATTTTTTTCTCTAAAATTTCTCAACAATTTTTAAAGCCATGGCCGCAAGGCTGTGCAGAAGCAGTGGGGCCCATGGGCCTGGGTGGCAGACCTCGTGTCCCCTGACCTGTCCTGCCCGCCCTGGTCAGTGCATGCGCCCAGGGCATCCCCTGAGCCGGGACACTGACCCCTGCTGTGCACCAGAGAGGCAAGCAGGCTGGGAGGCACGGAGCGCTTCAGACCGTGTTTGCTGTGCCCCTCGCCGCCCTTCAGCCAGGTGGAATGTGGATTCCAGATCCATCTCTAGCCTTGACCCTGGATCTACGTGGGGAGCGGCACTGCGTGTTGGGGATTTTTATTGTCACTGTGACCATCTGGTTCTCACTCCGTAGCAGGATTTGTGGCCTGCAGAGTTCTGTGTTGGAATTTGCTAACCTTTCTCTTTTGGTCTAATGCTGGTTACTTTCTGTTTCTGTAGTGTTTTGGGGAACTGGCATTGGTCGGGGTTCTGCCACCTTAGTGCTTTTTCCGCATTTCCTCCCCGGCCTCGCCCACGCTGCAGCCCTCCCTCAGGCAGAGTGCACTGTGTCCCATGGGCTGTCCCGTGGCTGTCCCCTGGCCGTACCCTGGCCATGTCCTGTGACTGTGTCCCATGGGCTGTGTCCCCTGGGCTGTCCCCTGGCCGTGTCCCGTGGCTGTGTCCCCTGGCTGTGTCCTGTGGGCTGTGTCCCCTGGCCGTGTCCTGTGGCTGTGTCCCATGGGCTGTGTCCCGTGGGCTGTCCCCTGGCTGTGTCCAGTGGGCTGTCCTGTGGCTGTGTCCCATGGGCTATGTCCCATGGCTGTGTCCCCTGACTGTGTCCCATGGGCTGTGCTTACTGGTGACCTCAGAACTGTGCACCTCTGCCTGGTGTCACTGCCTTGGTCAGCCTTTGTCCTGGTGCCTGTGGCCTGCTGTTCCTCACGTGTCTTCATGAATACGGCCTTCTCTTCTTTGGACTGTCATTCATCCAGCCACGTACTGGGCTTTGTGCTGTGCTCGGTCCGTGATCTCCTGAACTGACGGTTCAGTTCAGAAGCACAGAGATAAAAGCACAGTTGTAGGGCAGGGGCCATGGGGTAGGGGCCCTGGAGCAGACGGCTGTGCCCAGGCCTCACCGTGGGTGGCTGAGTCCAGTCTCTGCCCCTTCATGTCCCGTTAAACACACTGTGTTCCCCATAAAGCCCTCATGCACCACCTGGCACCCCGTAGGGTCTAAGGGACGTGATAGTCATCGTTCTAGAGAAGAGCCCTGAGATAAATCCGCCAGGCTTGCTCAGATCACAGCACGGGCAGAGCAGGGCCATGGGGGCAATCGCCCACTGCCCCAACCCTCAGCCTGCCCCTCACGGGTGCTCCTGTGTTGCCCCCAAGCTCACATCCCTTCTGCCCACCTGCCTTGTTATATGTTTGGCTATTGTTTCCAAATAGGAGGATGCTGAGGCCCCAGGAAAAGGAGAACACCGCGACTCAGATCAGAAAAAGTGTGCAGACCTCTTTTGGGGTTTGCCATTGCGTTTCTTGAATATGCGGTGATGTGAGGTCTTGCTGAGACTGAGAGGGTGTGGTGCACAGCAGAGCCCGGGAAGGGGCTGAGGACGGAGCTCCCGGGGGCCCGATCCCAGCCCAGGGCCCAGCTCTCCGGAGTCCGGCTCCTGACATGCTTACGTACTTGCAGCCCCCTGTGGTTCAGCTCCTCACAGAGGAGAGGTTTTCATGCGATCAGGAATCTCATAGACCTGTAAAGGGACCATGGGAATATTTTCAGTTCTCTAGTTCCAGGGGAAATTGTGTGCCCTCACGGTGGCTTCCAGCTTGGCGCCTGGGGCGCAGCTCTCTGGGCCACAGCCACGGTTCCGTCCTGGGAAGGCACAGATGTGGTGCCTTTCCTGAGCCCCCTGGCCAGCCCTCGGAGTGTTTCTCCCATGGCTGAGTGACTCTGGTCCCTCAGGAAGGTCCGAGTGGGGAAGAACGTGTTCAGGGAGGGCTGAATTTGGTACAAGCACGTGGAAACCCTGCCCAGGTGGTCAGAGGCCCCTGCTCACTCTCCGTGCTCTGGACCAGGGGCTGAAACCAACATGAGGCGTCCAGAATGAGCTTCTAGTTGGATCTGGCAGAGCTTGTTACCAGCTTGTGACCCACTCTTAAAAACACAAAGAAGTGGCACAAGTTAAAAATTGGCGAATTTAGATGAACATTGTGTTCACTGAACTTTCATTTCAACTTTAACGTAAGTTTGAAGTTTTTTAATGTGAGGAAGTTCTTAGACATTGCAGGTTGTAGGAAGCCATGCCTAAGTAATCTTTTGGTGAAGGGTGTTGTATTTGTGTGTATCGTTTTCCACATAAGCTAGGTAAGTGAAAATGAGAACCTACAGAAAGTGCATTCAGTTTCTAGTTAAAAAAGAAATGAACACAGGCATTGCTTTTTAAACCACCTCCGTGAATGTGGCTCGATAAAACGTTTGCACAGATTCAGGACATAAGTCTACCTTCTGCTGTGTGGTCGGTTGAGAACAATCACCATTAGATAAATTCATTTTCCCCACGTCCTTTGTGACAGCATTAGCCCTACCTTCTGCCTCCGGCCAAGGGCGGCCACAGAGAGTGACCAGAAAGTGCCTGACAATCAGCTCTTCGGGCTGTTTGGTGAGGGGGCAAAATATTCATCACATGGAATAATTAGCCAACAGCCAGTCAATATGAATTAATGATTTTTTTCCCCAACAGGATAGTCTACAGGGATATAAAACCCAAAATAAATTTCTAAATAAGGAAATCCTGGAACTCTCAGCTCTGAGAAGAAATGCAGAGAGGAGAGAGAGAGATCTGGTGGCAAAGGTGGGTCAGGCCGGGCGTGTCCTGTCACCCAGTGGGAGGGCTGGTTTGGACCACGTTGGATGGGCATGCCTCAACCCCGTGCCACCCTGTGCTGGGTGGGCATGGTCACCGATACTGATGGGTTTAAAATAGTGCCCGGCACTCTGGACTTAGCCTCACTCTGTGATGAGGACAAATAGAGGGGGCCTGGGGTGTGGCTTCCATTCACACGTAATGGAGTTTACGGAAAAGATTAATGCAATTCTAAGACCCCCCCAGATTCAGGTGGTTTGGATCTCTGCTGTTGAGTCATGTGAACCAGTTTCTTACCTGTAAAGGGGGACAGTGAGGGTGATGCCTCCCCCGTGAGCCTGACGGGCTTGGTGTGAGACGGGCCAACACTGCAGTTATAATCGCAAAACTCACTGTCAGCAGCTGTTGCGCACCTTACGTGCCTTCTGAACGGTCCCCAAAGCGCCTTTGCAAACCCTGATCCCATGTCCTTTCCACGGGGACGTCTGACTTGTCTGATAAGGTGGCAGACGGGAGCTGGTCCTGGGCCTTCCTGGGAGTGTGCTGATGTAGCCCAGGGCACTGCTCATGGCCCACATGCCAGGCGGCACTTAGCTTGACCTCTGTGACTGGCATGTGGCCTGGCTCCTGCTGGCCCTCTCACGCTGTCCATCCAGGGGTCTTATTACCAGCACCTTGTCTGTGCCAGACCCCCTGGAAGGGGGTGGCCCCGTGGCAGGTAGCCTGTGGCATGAACTAGTCTCCTGTCTTTGACACAGTCTCTGTGGCTCACTTCCAGTAGCTGTGGGCGTGTCATTTGTTGATGGTGAGGTGCTCAGGGCTGCTTTTCCTGGCTGGAAATCACCACCACTCTCTCTCCAGTATTCTAGCCTGGAAGCCAAGCTCTGCCAGATAGAGAGTAAATACTTGATACTGCTCCAAGAAATGAAGATGCCGGTTTGCTCAGAAGAGCAGGGGCCTGCTCAGGACGTCATCGCCCAGCTGCTGGAAGACGCTCTGCAGGTCGAGAGCCCTGAGCAGCCAGAGCAAGCCTTCATTAAGCCTCACCCCGTCAGGTAAAGGTGCTGGCTCAGTCTGCTGGCGAGTGGGACCTGCCTCTGAGGTCCCCGTTCACGCGGAACTTGGCACAGCTCTGTGAGTCTCATTCGGCGCTCTTGACAGGTACTGTCGGTCAGAGCAGATAATCTCCGCATTCTCGCCATGATGATCGGCGGTAAAGCTGGACTCAGCCAGGTCTTTGGGCTCCAGGACCTTTGTCCCGCGTGCCGAGGCAGGCAGCTGCCTCAGTTCTGGGCCAGCCGCAAGAGGAGCCAGCTTCCGGGGCTGAGGGACCCTCTTCCTGGGCTCCTGGGATGCCGCCATGGGCCCCTGGGTGGGGAGCTGGCCTGCTTTGTGAGAACACCTGGGAGGCCTGACCCAGTCGTGCCGCCACGGAACCCTTATGGCCAGAGTGCCCTTGCACACTTACGGTATCACTTGTAATTTCAGAAAATCACAGACTCTAGGGACCTGAGATGAGTCTTGGATTAAGAACCTTTGTATCCTAGTTCCGGAAAAATGAGACTCATGAAATACTAGAATGAGGAGAAATCTGCAGATTCACTCAGTCTGCTCTGTTCCACCCCCTGCCACTGGGTGGGGCCCTGTGGCCCTGTGTCTAGGCCCCTGGCTGCAGCTGCCGCGCCCCTGCTCCACGCAGTGCCCCAGCCTGACCTGACCTTGTGGCCCTGAGTGCCCCAGGGTCTGTGTGGTGGGAGCTGCGTCCCAGGCTTCCCAGGCTGGTGTTTAATGCCCAGTAAGGTGGACGTTTGTATCCTCTACAAGCGAGGAAGCTGGGGCTGGGGAGAGCAGGACCTGCCAGGGTCACGAGGCGGCTGGGACAGGACCAGCCCGGCCCATCCCTGGTCAAGGGCCCATCCCCTCCACGTCCTGCCACGTCCTCAGTGGTGGGGGCCTCCAGGAAGGCATCCAGTTCTGAAGGCATGGGTCTTCCCCTGTGCGTTTCTGGTCTCTCGCTATTTCTGTTAATCTTGGTAATAGAAAATCTCAGGCAGACAAAGTTCGCAGTCCGCAGCAGCCCCCATGTTCAGCCGTCACCCAGGTTTCACAGTGATTCATGTTCTGCACCCTCACTTGGTCTTACTCCACCCCCACAGTTTTCTTTTCTGGAATATTCTAAGGCAAATGCCAGGCATCATTTCACCTTTAAACATGTCAGTGTGTATTTCTAACTGATGATGCTGTAATACACGAATGTACCCTATTCCTGTGTTTTTGCAACTTGCTTCTTTCAGCATCGTTTCTGAAATCGTCTGGGCTGTGGCAGCCCCGGGCACTGCTCTCCAGAGCCTCCCACAGCCTCTCACACCTGCATGCAGGCCCCGGCTCCGTTCTACCATGCAGCCTGCATGTCCATGTGCGAGGGCCTCTCTCAGGTGTCGACTCCTGGCCTCTAGGGGCTTTCCTCTGTGCTTTTCACGTTCAGGGCTTCCGACATCGAGAGCGCACACCCAGCTGCCAGGTCCAGGTCCCAGAGTGCCTGTGCGAGTGTGCACCCCGTGGTGAAAGGCCCTAGGATGGTTTTCTGTGGCTGCCCGAACACGATATCACAAACCCCATGGCCTAACACTGCGCATGTTTGCTGTGTATCTCACAGTCCTGTGGGCCAGCAGCCTGCAGGCCACACTTAATGGAAACCAAGGGATCAGCAGGGCTGTGTTCCTTTCTGGAGGTTCTAGGGGACAGTTTGTGGCCTTGCTCATTCAGATTGTTGGCAGAGCCCGGTTCCTGCAGCTGTGGGACGAGGCCTCCGTTTCCTTGCTGGCTCTCAAGCGCAGCCGTTCCCAGCTACTGGAGGCCGAGTGCGACCCTTGGCTCGGGGCCCCTTCTTCCAAGCCAGCCGCGGAGGGGCCGGCTCCTCGAATGTCACATTCTCTGGACTCTTCCATCACTGCGTCTCAGGCTGACTCCTCTGCCTGCCTTCTTCACTTTCACCCACCCTGGTGGTCTTTGAGCCCACCCGGAACCCAGCACCCTCTCCCTGTCCTCGGCTCTGTGGCCTGATCGCTTTGCCATGCGACACACTCACCGGCTCCAGGGAGTAGACGTGAGCTTCCTTGAGGCCAGCACTCTGCTTACAGATATTTTCTCCCTTGTCCTTTCGCCTTTTAAAATGACATTTCTTGGACATAAAAGTTGCACACGTGTGTCTGTATGATATGTAAACACACACATTCGTGCATCCAGATCTACTAGCCTTATAGAATCCTTGCCCTTCACACTTAGGGCTTTAAGCCATCTGGAACTGACATTTTTCTGTACAGTATCAGAAAGAGACCGAACTTCATCTATTCTGTATAGTCGCCGGTGCCCTCACCCCGTCTAACAAGCACACCCATTTCCTCACCCACCCTCAGCGTCTTGTCATTTAGCAAAGCACCATTTATCCGCGGGTCGATTCCTAGGCTCTCGCTGCCACGTTGGTCTTTCCTCCAAGGTCCTATCAGCTAATGTTCCCTTTTGCTTTCTCAACAGTGAATATGATATTTATGGGTTTAGGACCGTCCCAGAGGACGACGAAGAAGAGAAGCTGGTTGCCAAAGTCCGGGCGCTGGACCTGAAGACGCTGCACCTGACGGAGAACCAGGAGGTGTCCACCGGGGTCAAGTGGGAGAACTTCTTTGCGAGCACGGTGAACCGGGAGATGGCGTGCTCCCCAGAGCTGAAGGGCCTCATCCGGGCGGGCGTTCCACACGAGCACCGATCCAAGGTGTGGAAGTGGTGTGTGGACCTCCACACACGCAAGTTCCGGGACGGCACGGAGCCCGCGTACTTCCAGACGCTGCTGCAGAAGGCGCTGGAGAAGCAGAACCCCGCGTCCAAGCAGATTGAGCTGGACCTGCTGCGGACACTACCCAGCAACAAGCACTATGCGCGGCCCACCTCCGAGGGCATCCAGCAGCTGCGCAGTGTGCTGCTGGCCTTCTCCTGGCGCAACCCGGACATCGGCTACTGCCAGGGCCTCAACAGGTGGGTGTGCGGCCTGGGGTGCCCGCCCTTGGGACCCACATGCCTGCCGGCTCCTCCCACCTGCTTCACTGGGAAAAGCCGATGCTTTAAGGACCTCAGTGGCGGCAAGCGGCTTCAATCCTGTGGCATCCCCGTGCTGGAGTGATTGAGAGCAACATGCTTTTGGAAAGCGTCAACATCAGAGTAATGTTACAACCACTAGGCTTCTTGGTTTGATCCTGCCCCAGGTTTTGAGCAGAGTAATTGCATATAGACCCTGATGCACGAGGTGAAACCCGTGGTCACCCCTTGTTCACACAGGATCTTTGTGCATCAGCGAGTCACCCCAGACGATTCGCTGGCTGACACTGAGCCTTGAAGAACCCAAACTTGTCTCCTTTGGACCAGACCCTTCCCTTGCTGATCTGGGTTTCCTGTCTGAGCTGAGCAGAACAGGTGGGCTGGGAGCCCCACTGCCCTCTGGGGCTGCTCCCGTGCCTGGACTCTGTGCTCGGTGGCCTCTCTCCTCACGTCTGTCTGCTCCTGAGCTGCTGACACGCTTTCTGCCGCCTCTCAGCGCCGTCTGCAGCCACCTGGGTAACCCTATCAGATTGAAGGCAGGACCAGGCCTGTTAGGAATGTGGGTAGAGTGTGAGGAGAGGCCCCTGTGCATCCTTCCAGAATCCCCTCAGCCACATGAATGAACTGAGTTTTGAATCTGATATTCACTCCGGCTGCTCCTGGGCCTCATCTGTGCCAGATGATGACCTCCAGGCACAGGTGGCTGTTTGCCTCTAAGATAAGGCATTGCAGGAAGGAACATTCCAGACTGGAGTGTTTCTTGGCTAGGGCCCGAAACCACATGGTTCTAGGAGGGTATTACCCTGTGGTGGTGAGGACAGGGCAGCCTCTCTGCACCCTGAGTCAAGGGACCCCGGGCTGCTCCTTAGAGACCCATTTTTTTAAAAGCCTGTAAATAGGATACTGCCAAATAAAGCGGTCTTGTGCTAAAATCCGCAGCGCACATTGTATACTCAGTCTGAAAACTTGCAGAGTTTAAAACCCTGGGAACCCGGAGGCTCCTATAGGACAGGGGTGTGGCTGTTTGATGAACAGCAGCGCCCTGTTTTTCTGGCGTTGTCACGGAATCTGTTCCTCCAGAAAACTCAAGCTTTCTCTCTGTACTTCCACCTCCATTTAGGGCCCCTACATTTCCACCATCTCTTTAGTACATTGCGCACATGCCTTCTGGGAGCCCAGAACTTTAGTGAGGACTGTTAGCCTTTCCTGTCCCTAAGTGGTTCATCCGGGATGTCCTTGGAGGCCCTGCCGCGGTTTGGGAGTCTGTGCTCCCCAGCGGCCTCGGGGGTGCGCGTTTGGTCCCTGCGCTCACGCACCCCGTCTCTCCCTCCTTTCTGCCTTTCATCGCCTCTGTGCTCCATCTCATTCGTGCCGCTGGGGCATCCCCTCCGCCCAGCCAGGTCTTTTCTTTCTACCCTTTGAGACGAGTTTATTCCAATTTTATCTAAGAAAAGAAAACATTCTGTGAAGTGGCTTTAAGGTGTTCCTGTAAGTGACACAGAAGCTTCATGTCACGAGTGAGGTCCTTGGGTGTGACGAGTGGACGGGGCTCTTCTCCACGCGTCCCTTCCTTCCGCTCTGAGTGCCTGTTCAGGGACACGTCTGGGACTGATGGAGAAGTCACCTCTTGAGTGTTAGTGTAAACCTCTAGACCTGAGACGCCATGACAGCGGCTGCAGGGTCCCTGCTCCCGCCCAGTATAGCGCTGTGCGTGCAGTTCTTATCAAACCCCTGAGTGGTTCTGTCTGAAGCCCCATCTCAAGCAGAACGGTGTCAGGAAAGTTGTTTTTAAGCCATCCTGTCTCTTACAGTCACCTCTGCATTTTTTGTGCATAAAAGGATAAGCTGCATTCACAAAAATCTTAAAACGAAAACACTTCTTTTTAACGAGGCCAATTGATCATTGGGAAACAGGTCCATCGTCTTTAAATGAAAACCAAGGGCGGGGAGAGGAGGGGAGGGGAGGTACCTTTGCTCTCGAACTCCATGCAGTGCCTCGCTTGCCAAGGAGCTTGCTGTGCTGTTTGTGGGCAGGCTGGGAGCAGACACCCCCATGCAGCCTGGCCACGCTGCCCGCCTCCTCCTAGTGCTGGCTCTGACTTTGTTCTCTGCCTGCTCGTAGGCTGGCGGCCGTGGCCCTCCTGTACCTGGAGCAAGAGGATGCATTCTGGTGCCTGGTCACCATAGTGGAAGTGTTCATGCCTCGAGACTATTACACGAAGACTCTCTTAGGATCCCAGGTACTTCTGGACTTGCTGTGCCCCAGGCAGCAACGTGTACAGTTAGAGCTGAAACGTGACCTGCATTAAGCCTCGGTGGGGGGCCCGTGCACACGGCTTCAGCAGCTGAGCCCCGAAGAAGGTGCACAGTAAGGCAGGCACCCCAGAGACCCTGCCCTTGGAGGGTCCACCTCACTGCCTTCTGTTACCCCTCTGCCACCCACCCCATTTGCTCCCAGGCCAGAACCTGCCAGCCTGCACTCCTCTTTCCCGCTCCTGCTGTGGGGACTGGCCTGACCACTGCCCTCTGCCTGGTGGTGGAGTCTGTCCCCCACCGTGTCTCCCACCACTGCTGGGCCCCGGGCTCCCCTTCTGCACCCAGCCCTGCCTGCCCACTGAGCTGCTGGGAGCAGTGGACCCTGGGACAGGACACGTTGCTCCGGGAACTTGCAAGCATGCGGTTACACGGTTCCACGGTTCCGCGGTTCCGCGGTTCCTCGGCTGCCACCACCAGCGCCCTGCTTGCTGCCCTAGGAAGCTCAGCCCGAGCTCGCAGGCCCCTTCCTCCACCGCGGCCCCGCCTCCCCAAGGCCATGTGAGGCCGTCTTCGGTCCCGTGGCTCTGGCACAGGCCTCGGTGACAGCTGGTGCCTTTCTGGGTGGCCCTCTTGGCTCTGAGGGCTGCAGCCCAGCCATGCGGGGTCCCCAGCACCACACACAGGGCAGGCGTCTCGGCCTCTGGGAGCTTGCTGGTGGGAGCCTGGCTTTCTGGGGGCCGGGGGCTTTCCTCCTACGGGTGGGTCCCTCTCCCAGCTTCGTGGATGTCCACGGATCCCAGGAGAAGCTCTTGGGTCTCCCAGTGTCACTTTGCCGATTGGCTGAGAGGTCATTTTCAGGGGGAGTAGCATGTGAGCTGGGATACCACAGTGGCTGATGAGGAGGTGTCCCTGTCTGGTGGGACTGAGAGGACAGTAAAGAACGTTCTAGGTGTTCATGGACACCTGGTGCTGGCAGCTTGAAAGACGCGATGGAAAGCTTGGAAGGGTCAGCGTTTCAGAAGCACTGGCCTGAGCTCATTGAGGGGCACAGGGAGCCAGGGCCCCCTCCTCTGAGCCGTGGAGTTGGGCCGCCTCACCTGACATCCGGGTGCCTCAGCTTCCCCATCCATGCCACATCCACCCACAGAGCGCCTGGGGGATACGTCCCAGTAGCTCCTCAGAACATTATAAAAACTTGATGGGATTGTTGCTGATGTTGTTACTGTGGGCAGAAGGGACGTGAATTCAAGGTACTCCTTGCCTCACGCTGTCACATAAACTCGACTGTGACTTCTATGGAGCTTCCTTCCCCTGACTATAGAAGTGACAGACACTCACTAAGGAGAATTTGGTGACATGGAAAAGGCTACCCTGCCCACTGGAGAACCCAGTTAGTGTGAGATGTTTTTCCTGTTGGCATTCCGCTTGTTTCCAATACGTCAGGCGTCCAGACTCAGAGCACAGGGTACCGTGGCTGCCACACACTGTAGCCTGAGCATCCCTGTGCCATCAGATACTTTCTAGCCGTCATATCTGGTGGCCGTATAATACTGCGTCGGGTGAGTGGACATGTAGGCCCCACTCTGCGCTATCCGTGCCCCAGAGGGACGGCTGCAGACGTCTTACAGACGGCTCCACGCATCTGGCCCTGTTCTCCCCGCCTGTCCTGGGGGTGGCCCCCCTCCACCTGGGCTGCAGAGGGGCCTCCCGCCCTGCCTCACTCTCCCCATCAAAGCTTCTTGACGCCTCAGTTGCCTGCTGTGATTTTCAGGCATGGGTAGAGGAATCGGTGTAGAAGGTTTATGCCAGCTTTTCTGACAAATGAAACTACAAAGGCTAGAACTGAAGGCGACGTGGTGCATCCACTGCGTGGGGTTGGGGTCATCTGTGGGCATCTGCTCTGTTCTGTGCTGACCCACAGCGAGGTTCCCTGTGGGCCATGAAGGCTGGGGAAGGCTGAGGCTGCTGCCTGCTCCTCTGTGCCATGCTCCAGCTTCTGCCAGGCTGTGCTGCCCCCCAGGCCTGGCCGGGAGCCTCTGGCCGTGAACGCTCTATGAGCACCCCTTCAGCAGAGCCCTGCCCTCCAGCCCTGCCCACACGCCCGGCTGCCCCACTCATCTTTGAGCTCCTTGAGATCAGGGCTCTGCCCAGTGCCGGCCCTGTGCCTAACACAGCAACTTTGATAGTTTGTGTCTCCTGTCATTCTCACAGCAGCCCCATAAGAGAGGGGCCATTGCGTGCAGGTGAGGCTCAGAGCTGCCCAAGGCCGCCAGCTAGTAAGTGGTAGAGCTGAGACTGACACTCGGGTCCACCTGGCTTGGGTCCCTGCCACCCCCGCTGCCCTGCCAGCCAGTAAATACTCACTGAATGGACCTGGTGTCGCTTCCCCTGTGGCCCAGGACTTGGCTGTATGGGCTGTCGCACCAGGACCCCCACCCCCGAAATCACATGTGGATTAGCCGGACTGTCTGTTCCCCCAGCTCTTGGCTGTGGCTTGTTTTTACAGAGCATTTTGAGTGTAGGTGTGGGTTTCAGGCCACAGAACCCAATCCCCACCGCTCCCTGGGGAAAGGGCCGGATCAGCTGGCACTGAGCGCCTGCAGCGTGTGCGCCAGCCACTCTGGGGTGAGCCCACCGTGCCCTGGACACAGCTGGGTGGCTGCACATTGTGGCCGGAGGCACCCCGGCGCCTCAGCTCGTTTGCGAGGTGCTGTGGCAGGCCCCGTACACGCCTCCCTTCCGCCCCTTCCAGGTGGACCAGCGAGTGTTCAGGGACCTCATGAGTGAGAAGCTGCCTCGGCTGCACGCCCACTTGGACCAGTACAAAGTTGACTATACCCTCATCACGTTCAACTGGTTTCTGGTGGTGTTTGTGGATAGTGTCGTCAGCGACATCCTCTTTAAAATATGGGACTCCTTCCTTTATGAGGGACCAAAGGTGGGTCTGTGCCGCGTGGCCGTGGGGGGCGTCAGTGCCTGCGAGGGCTGGCTCACCTGGGATGTGTGAGGGCGACCAGGGGCCACAGCGGTCCTGGCAGCCTGCTGGAGGCAGGTCTGGGAGACCATCATTTGCTCATTCATCAAACACAGTTAGACTGAGCCAAGCCCTGTGCCGGGCATGGGGGCTTGATGACTTGATAGCCGGGTGGCAGTACCATCCCCACTGTGTGGCTGAGGAGGCAGAGGCTCAGGGACAGACTCGGGGCCGACTTCGGAGCCTTACCGCCCACGAGCCTCCCACTCAGCCTGTTTTATGTTTTTAAGAACTCAGTTTGTGAAAAAATAACACAGGATAAACTCAAACCATGTGCTTGAGGGCCTGCAGTAGAAAGGCCATCTCCAGGCTCCTGGGTGCTCTTCTCAAAGTGTTTTGTGTGTGTCTGAATTACGGGTTTTTTCAAACTTCCTGTGTTGTGGAGCTAGTTCCACATCAGGGCATATACATGTTTCTGGTCTCCTGCCTTTTCAGTCTGTGCTGTGACCACATATAATCACGTCCCCCTGCGTGTGCATCTGTAGGTCTGGGCCTCGGAGTGGGTCAAGGGCACACCTGTCTGCAGTTTTTATCAAGAGTGCCAAATTGCCCTGCAGGAGGGCCTTACCAACTTCTACTCCCACCAGCAAAGTTTGAGTGTGTATATTGCCGTACACTCTGCCCAACAGTAAGTTACCAGCTTTTTAATTTTTAAAAAACGATTCTCAACCAGAGACTATCCTGCATTATTATTTTCCCTGTTGAGCCATCGGTAGGGATGTTAAGAGAAAGAAAATCTGTTTGAACTGTAAATATCGCTTTCGGAAGAAGAGGAAGTGCGGGCCGGTGCGGACCCGCCGCGCGCACCGACGCAGCTTGAACTCGGGAGACTGGCCAGGGCCTGTCCTCTGGCTTCAGACACAGTGCCTCCCCTCCAAAAACAAATCAGTTTTTAAAAATCTCTCTCACATACTTAGAAGTCGGTAATTCAGACCCTAGTTTCAGTAGCTGAGATAAAAACTGCCTCTGGAGCTGGAGCTTTTCTAAGACTCTCAGAATCAAAGGACCCTGGTTTTGATTTTGTTTGAAAATCGTTTCTAGTTCTGTTCACCTTGTGATGAGAAACGTTGGCTTCGTAGGGAAGGACCCCAGAGGTCTGTCCAGAGAGCTGACCCTTCCGTAGGAAGGGCGCCTCCCCCGTGGAAGCCAGGGGTCTGCCCCCGGGGGTGTGCAGGCTGCCCGCCGGCCCTGGGAGGCCTGGACGGCCCGGAGCTGGTGCTCCTCTGCCCACAGGCCTCCCTGTCTCCCCGCAGGTCATCTTCCGTTTCGCCCTAGCACTTTTCAAGTACAAGGAAGAGGAGATCCTGAAGCTGCAAGACTCGATGTCCATCTTCAAGTATCTGCGCTATTTTACTCGCACTGTCCTTGACGCTCGGTGGGTCCTTGGCGAGAGTCCCAGGCCCGGGGTGGGGTGGGGCCCCCCAGGAGTGCAGCTAGGGTGCTCCTTTGGAGGGGTGGGGACACCGGGAGGCCTGCAGGACGAGGGAGGCATAGGAGGACAGTGAGCAGGACTGGCAGCTGGGGCCGCAGGGTCCAGGAGGGAGGGGCAGGGTGGGGGCTGGGGGCAGGGGGCGGGGCCTGGAGCGGGGGGTGGGCGGGCCCAGGCGTGGAAGCGGCCCAGGAGGTGGAGGCGGCCTGAAACGGCAGGAGCCCTGGCTTCCTGGCCTGGGCCGCCGAGCTCCAGGCTCGTTTCGCCCCTTCCTCCCCAGCCACGTGGTCGCCACCTGGCCGTGTGTCCCCGACCACAGCTGGCGGCCACCCTGCCTCCATTGACCTGAGCTGGTGGGGTGGGTGGGGAGGGCCTCTTGATTGCGAGGCCATGTGGAAACCCACCTTTGTGCAGGTGGTATGAGCACCTGGCAGCTCATGCATCAGACGTGGGCGCCCCTGTGAAGACCACGAGCCCTTCCACGCAGAAGTGCGTGGGGCTCACCGATGTTCTTCAGATTTTGACCGCAGCCCACAATGGGAACTGCGTGCTCTGTCGTGGCACCTTGGAACAGGTCCTAGGGTGCGTGTGACCGGGAGAAGAATTTGTTGAGGTGTCTGTGGTTCTTGCTAGAGGTGTGTGCTCTGCACTCCAGAAAGCAGCTGTTTCCTCCTAGGTTACGTATGCACGCCTAAAACACTTGTGACTCACTAAATTGATTCCCCAATCCACTAGCGGGCCACAGCCCACCTGGTAAACACCGCTGCCCCCGAGCTCACCCGACATGAGCGGCGGGTTCCCTCCTGCCGACATCCAGGCCACTGGCCACCCAGAGCCGGGCTGAGCCCCACGCCGACCCACCCACCCTCTGCTTCTGAGGCCACACCACCAGGCAGCAGACAATGGTGGCAGAAGGCGCTGGCTGGGGCGTGCCTGGCATCCTAGACCACCCCACTATTTTTAGAATCTTCTGCTTGGGAAGTGGATTTTAAGGATACTTTCAAACCTGTTGATATTTCAATCACAGCGACCTAAACTTTGCCAAATGAGAAAGGGTGTTTGAGAATAACGTTTGCCTGAGAGATTGACTCTGAGCCCTGGACCAACCTCTCCAGTGCTTGTTAATCTCACATAGGGTTGCAACCCCAAGAATGAATGGCCCTACATGAACTTCACTCCAACAGCCAACGTGTGGAGGGCATCTTGGCTCAAGGCTGGTCCTGCTCAGCCCCTGCTGGTCTCGTGCCCTTGTGCCTGCCCACCGGCGGGTGCCCTGTGGTCTCCGTAGGTGCCTGGGCTGTGCGCCTCTGCAGCGCCACCTTGTGGGGCCCTTGGGGCCACCTCCTGCTGCCTGTCAGAGTCCATGTTGTCTGGCCCGGTACTTCCGGACCATGCGCCCGAGCCAGGTGTCAGGGTCGCCAGGGTGGCACCGGGACCACAGGCCCTGGCCACCTCAGCACAGGGGCTTCAGTATGTTAATAAGCCCCCAGACTCAGTGGACCTTGGCAGTTCCAAGAGCACCAATTCTGCAGCTCCCGATCATTTCCAAAAAAGTGGGAGATTCTTATGTTCAGGGTATGCCCGATAAATGTTAACCGTGGCCGAGTCGGATGTCTGGGAGCATTGGCTACTAACCTCGGTTGACCACAGGGCACCTTCCCTTCTTTGAACTGGACCTTCCAGGCCCAGGCAGAGGCCACCTGAGTGTAGGCCTCACAGAGTGGCCTGCAGTGGCATGACGAGCTTTAGGTGATTCAGGGCCGTGTTTTCTGTAGCAAAGGTCAGACGACTTAGGTTTCAAGTGGTGGAGCCATAGGAGAAACAAGGCTGGTCAGGCCCGACTCCTGCTGCCCAGCCAGCATTTCCTGTCACAGAGGGTCAGCCTCAGGGGGCAAGAGGAGGCCCCGAGGAACCCAAGATGAGTGGAGGCTGCAGGCCTCCCCTGTTCTAGAAGCACTGGGATTGATGTCTGAAGCTGGCCTGCAGGAGAATCCTCCGGCTTGGAACTGGGAGTCTTTAGGGAGTGGGTGTCTTAAATATGAAAGAGGAACATGCTAGACATGCTCTCCCCACATCTGTCTGCTTCACAGGAGCGGGTCAGGGGTCATTTCTGACAGAGGCCCTGCTGTTCTCTGTTCCATCACGGGCTCTCCTGGGTTTGCACCATGGGTGGCCTCTGGTGCTATGAAGAGAAGCCTCTGGGGCCTGCAGACCCCAGGGGCAGGGGCCTTGGAGTGGGGGACGGGCTCTGCCAGGAGCCCCGGGTCAGCTGCAGCTGATGTCGTCGGTGCTGGAAATCCATGCCAGGCCTTGGGTCCTCTCAGTTCAGTTTCCGTTAAATCACTGGCCGGGGACTGGGACAGGTCACTGTGATTTTTAAATGTTGACTGTAGGTTACCTGGGGGTGGTATGAAACACCACCTGCCCGTTTCTCTAGATTGTGTCTCCACACTTGTCACACAGTGGGCGGGTCTGCAGTGCCCACCAGGTTTGCTTGGGCATAGTTCATCCCATCCATCTGTCCGACAGGGTCTAACTGCCCAGCCTTACGCTGGTTTGGAGGACTCGGCAGGCCCATCCCTGCTGCCACCCAGCAAGCACCAGGCGCTGTCCTAGTGCTGGCAGGTGGCAGCTCCCGGGAGCCCACACCCTGGCAGGTGGCATGGCTGTTACCCACATACAGATGAGGCTTCAGAGGCCACAAACGGGTACCTGTCCATCTGCGCCACACAGGTGTCCCCAGGCCACACAGGCAGTGTTCAGGGCCTGCCCGGGTAGCCTGTGCATGAGGAATGGGCCCTGGGGACATACCCACATCAGGCCCTCTAGGGTCCAGGGTCCACCCTCAGCACCCCCAAACCCCACTGACACCTTGTCCTGTGTCCTGCCAGGAAGCTGATCAGCATCTCCTTTGGAGACCTAAACCCATTCCCCCTGCGTCAGATCCGGAACCGGCGTGCCTACCACCTGGAAAAGGTCCGGCTGGAGCTGACGGAGCTGGAGGCCATCCGGGAGGACTTCCTGCGTGAACGGGACTCCAGCCCTGATAAGGGGGAGCTCGTCAGCGACGAGGAGGAGGACACCTGAGCACCAGCCGCCGCGCCCGCGTCACCCCGTGGCGCACCGGAGGGGGAGCTGCAGGCCCTGCTCCCTCGGAGCCAGTGCACAGCGCCGCGGTCTCTGGAGGCCCACCGGGCTGATGGCCAGAGCCACATGGCGCTTTCTCGTCCTGCTCGGGCCCTTCTGTTTACAGCTGTGTTTTGCACAGCGCTCGGTTACACACGTCCCCACCGTGCTTCTGCCTGAGGGGCATGTTGCTGGGCTTCCCAGGCGGCTCTTCTCAAGATCCTGTTCACAGCACCCGTTGGTGGTGTTGGTGCCCCCCCCAGAAAACCCCACACCATGCCTCCTGGACGGAGGGATGGTCGAGGGCATCTTCTGCACAACTGCTCTGTGGAGGATGCCCGCTGCTTCGGATGCTCCCAGGCCCGGCAGCAGGCTGGCATGAAGAGCAGTGCTTTGGAGCTGTCTGCCAGCCACCGCCCATTTCCGAGCAACTTTGTCTCCCCCCACACAGCCTTTCAAACCATGCTCGCAACCTGCCCTGGGGCCAGCTCTGCACCGCTCCACACCTGCTTCCCACCAGCAGCCATCTTGGTGTCAGTCTGCCCTGGCCCTGCTGCCCTCTGTCTGGCCAAGCTCCGCAAGGCTTATGAAAATCTCTACCACCCAAGAGCTGACTCTGAGAGTCGTTCTCCATGAATCGGGTGGATCCAAGGGAATCTGGGTCCCCCTGTGGAGCGGGTGTAGCCCCAGATAGGCCTTGGCTGCAGGCAGAGGAAGCTTCCCTGGGGAGGTTTGCAGGCAGGCTGCCTGGCGAAAGCTGTGGGGCGGCTGGAAGCTGGGGCTTCTCTGGGGCATCCTGGGCTCCTGGCAACTGGGCTGGGATGGCAGGGAGGTCGGCAGCCAGGGCCTGTGGCTGGAAGTGCCTTTGCTTGAGGCCCCAGCTTTGGTGAGGCTGCACAGACATGCCCTCCAGGCCAGCACAGGTTTCACTCGTGGGCCCAGCTGTCCCTGGGACTCAGCCTCTTTGAATCCCTGGAAAAGGGGCTTTGCTCAAGGAAGGTTACTGCTGCTTAATCACTCCTGGACCACCCCTGATGTAGAGAGGGGAGGAGGCTTCCTGCACAGTGTTAGTCAAACGTGAAAGCAGCTGTTTTAAGTGGTGTCCCACCGCCTAGGAAACGGGATGACCCTTAGCTGATGTGTATCAACCCCACGGACTCAGAGTCAAGTGAAGCGTTTTTCACCTGTGGTTTTCTGTTCTGTCCACTGTCCAGCAGTGTTGTGGCCAGGTGGCATCTCTGCATAGACTGTTCTGTCCACCCAGGTCGTCACAACACCGGTCCACCGTAGAGACGTATCTGACTTCTGTCCACCGTCCAGCAGTGTTGTGGCCAGGTGGCATCTCTGCATAGACTGAGCTTAACTTTTCTGTCTTCAGTTAAATTTGTTAATCTGGTTTTTCACTGTGTGGAGGGAGCTGGTCTCTATATTTAGCCAAAGCCTTTGTCTCTTCAGGTACCAAAAACATGTTTTAGCAGTTTGGGACCAGCTTTGACCACTCAAGGACGTCTTTCCATGGGACCAGCTGGGCTGCTGGAGCCCTCCCCCCCCCACCTCCCCATTGCTCTCGGCCTAGGGCACAGCAGCCCAGGAGGGGCAGAAGGTAGGGGTTGGCCCCCACCTGCCCTCAAGCTTTAGTCCCCGAGTTGCTTCCCCCAGGAAATGCTTTGTCCTGGAGCTGAAATGCCATCTATAGGAACAGGCTCGTTTCACCCTGGAAAAGGCATCTTTGGAAGCACCCGGATGCCCGGGGTCCTGGGCCCTAGTGTGTGGCTGGAGCCCATAGTCTCAGCCACTCCCCAGGTCCTGGGCCAGTTTCCAGGCAGTAGGCAAGAGTGGGGGTGAGAAGGGACTGGGGTGCTTCCTGGAGGCTCACCTCTCTGGAACAAGCACAGTGGAAATGCTGACCTGGTGCCAGACAGGCTGCCGGGTGCACTCACAGAACCACAGGGTCCAGCTCCCCGTTTTGGGCCAACACTGCCCTCCCCTTGTGCTGAGCATAGTTCTGTGCCCCCAGGGCGGCCTCCTGCAGGTGCTGCCCCGGGGCCTGCAGGGGTCTGGCAGCTGAGACTGCAGGCCTGGGGCTGGGAGAGACTGCTCAGCCCTGATGGGCACGGCCCAGGCGAGCTCCCCCATCGTCCAGGCAGGAACTGCCAGCTTTCACATCGAGGGCTTGTTTTTTATGGGTTTAGTATCTGTTAATACATCTGTATATTTTCACTACAGTTTATATTTTTATAGGCTATTTTTATCAAGATTTTTCTAGATCCTACCTATTTTGTATAAGTTGTGTGTGCACGACCCCTATGTGTCTGTGTGAGCCTGAGTTCTCTGAAGCTCCCCCCGCACTGTGGCCCTAGACCCCCACCCGCCCTGCACTTACGCACGACCACCCCACCCAGTGGGCTCAGGTCTGACAGCCAGTCATGCTGACAGCCAGGCTGTCGGCCGCTGAGAACGACCTCGGTTCAACTGCGTTTTATCGACATAGGAAGTGTTCCAGGCAGGTAGCCAGTCCCTGTTCTCCTTTTTAACTCAGTGTTTGTACTGCTGCACCAGCCCTCGCCCCTCACTTTCTGCGATGTCTCACTGCATGTGGGCCAGCGGCTGGGCCTGCCTGGGGCGTGCCTGGGGTGGGGGCTGGCCGCAGGCCCGAGGACCCAAGGGGCTGCCCAGGGACCTTGTGCATGTCACACCACCTCTGTGCTTATCAAGTACGACTTTGGAATTGTCATTCTGGAAGGTAAAATAAATAATTTGTATGACCTTCTGGATTGGCATGTGGCCACTCTTGAGGGCCCAGCCCCATGGCCTTGGAGGGTGGGGCAGGGCCAATGGAGCCTCCCCGACCCGCCCACTGCATTTCTCCGTCCGGTCCTTGGTTTGCTCTGGGGTGGGTGGGACCGGAAGGCCCAAGGGCCATGGCTGGCCATGGTGAGGGCCGGGGGCACCGAGGTGGGGCCAGGGGCTGGAGCCGCGCTGGTCCGGAGCAGCCCCCGCCTTCCGCCAGCTGCGGCTTGCCCGGCCTGAGTCATGGGTTGTTTGCCTCCTGCCTGGCCTCAGGCCCGGCTGCTTCTGGGGACGCCACCCCTCATCCCCCATCATCGGAAAAACACCCGAGGATGATTAAGACCAAATGTCTTCCCACGGTGTGGGGAGGTGCTCTGAGACCCCAGCCCAAGAACAGTGGCAGAGCTGGGCCAATCCGAGCAGAGCCCCAAGCGGTGACCTGTGGCCCCTGTGCAGGGGTCGGAGCCCAAATGCGGAGGCCCTGCTCACAGACTGAGGAGAGCCCTGGGAACCCCTACTCAAAGCATGGGACCCTGGGACCTCCTGGGGCTGGCCAGCTACTGCAGACGGGCAGGAAGCAAGCGTGTCACTCCACCCGTGGACCGTGCTGTGACGTCCAGACAGGTACAGCCCCCAGCAGCTCGCTTCCCTGAGGGGCCTTGGCAGGCACCCCCTGCAGGGCCTGTGCAGAGTCATCTTCCTGCCTCGTGGGAGGGCTCAGCACTGGGGCAGCCCAGAGCTCAGACTGCAAGGTGGGGCTGGAGGCCCTCGACTGCTCACCTCCCTCAGAGCCATGGGCTTCTCGTCTGAAGTTGGGGTCCTTGCTCCAGCCCCGGGGGGAGCAGCGGGGCAGCCTCTGGGGCAGACACTTGCTAACTGGGTCAGCCTGGTAGTTTTTCTCTGTCTCAATCCCCAAGGAGTGGTTCTCGGTGCCCCTCACACACTGAGCCAGGCAGGGCGAGGGGCCTAGGGCACGTGCCCTCGGGGCCACACTGCAGTCTGCAGAATGGAGTGTGAAGGTGTGCACAGTGGGGCTGGGCCTCTGAGCCTCAGAAGGGTGATGGCACCCCCCTAGAGCAGTGCATGTGAGCAGGTGTCAAAGGGTTAAGTCCATAGCTCATGCCAGAGGCAGGGGCTGGGGTCTGCAAGGCCACTCCTTGAGGCGGGGCTGTTCCCCGCCTGCTCCCACAGCCTGGCTCCATGGGGGGTATGGTGGGCAGGCACTAGGCACCGGGTCACAGGTACCCAGCCCAGGGCTGGCAGGGAGGAGACACCTGAGTCATGGCCACACGCAGCCCAGCCCATCTCAGCACGGAGAACGAACGGGAGGGGTGAAGGAGGGGCATGGCCGGCCAGTCTGCTCCTTCCCCATCCTCCCAGGGGCTGAGCGCATCCCATGCTCCCCCTCCTACTGGGTGCAGGGGCATGAACAGACAGAGCAGAGGGGGCCAGGCAGTGCCTGTGGGGTTCCCAGACCCCTCACCATCGCTGCTGCCTGCTTGAGGCAGGGCCCGACTCCGTCCCTGTGAACGTGGGTCCCTGGGGGCCTTGGGGCAGGGACATGGGGGCCCTGAGCAGGGCTGAGGAAAGAGCATGAGCCCCCACGGCCTTTGCCAAGCTGTACCCCTGCCCAGGAATCCTTCCTGCCACCCGTCACCACCCCTCTGAGCCCTGCATACACCTCCTCCAGGAAGCCCTCTGCCTCCTACAGTCTTCCTACCTACATTCTTTGGGAGAACCGTTTGCTCCTCACCCAGCTGGCCTCCCAGACGAGCCTATGGGAAGGTGCCACTGGAATGGGGGATGACTTTAGGGCAGAGGATTGGGGCTCTAACTTAACCTCCCCAACCCAGTCCAAGAGGAGGCCCAGCTGTGCTTTGAAATGGTAGATGTTCTTTATGTTTATCATCATTGTAAATATTACACAAACTGTTAGAATAAAAAAATACTTCTTGGGGGAGGGGGTCCCCAGTCTGCTACTGGCAGGGGCCGGGGTTAGCACCAGAGAAGCGCGAGGGCCGGCTCCACCGCAGCCTGGGTGGGGCACTGAGGTCCGTGCGTCGGTCATCAGTCTGTGCATCCCGGCCTGGCTGCAGGCCCCATGGGTGTGGGTCAGTGGCGGGTGCCCTGCTGACGGCCACGGGAGGGGGCACCCCAGCTGGGTGGGGTGCAGGAGCTGCAGCACTGGGCACGTACGGTGGGCAGCTGGCAGCGGCCCAGGAGGCGCAGTGTCTCACAGAAGCCAAAGGACAGGCGGTCCCGCTCACAGCCTGGGGTGGGGTGGGGCGGGTCAGGGCCACTGGCTGGGCACCAGCACCGGGGGTGGAGGGGCCCCTGGGATTTTACCTGGGCCATCTGTTCTCCCTCAGCAGCCTTGGGGGGCTTCTGCAACCCCCAGCAAATCAGCCCCGTTTCTGGAGTTGCAGAGATGTCCCTGGCTCCAGCCCTTGGCTTGACCACCCCCAGCCCAGGACTCTGAGGACTGGTCCAGCTGTGTTCCAGCTTCCAGAAGAAAGGCCCTGACGCTGAGGTGCTCACTAGATGCCAAAGGGCAACACTCCGTGCAACCCTGCTCACCAGTGCCCTCAACAGGTCCTGGCACACAGCTGAAGCCCCACTGCACCCGCCCTGTTGTGCCTCCCTGACCCCCTGCAGCCAGGCAGGCTGCACTGAGCCTCAGCTGCTGGGTCACAGGCCAGAACAGAGTCCCAGCCAGGCTGGGGAGGGAGGCCCAGAGACAGCCTGCAAGCCAGGCCTCCTGGGGAGGGAGGCGGGAGGCGGCAGGCGGGGCTGCTGGGGCTGAGGCGCTGGCCCTCCCTCCCTTCTCTGAGCTATTTTGGGATGTGCTCTGCTTCCCGGCCCCTGGCCTCGCTCCCACCGCTGCGGCCCACCGCTGCTGCCGCGGACGGCCCCCAGCTGCCCTGCTGGCTCCAGCAGACATCGTGGCGGAGGAGGATGCAGGACAGCCCTGGGTCTGGGACATCCCTGGCAGGCAGAGGGCACGTGGCGGCAGGCAGCCCCGCGGGCCAGGGAGCAGCGCTGAGCTGCACTCCTGCTGCCCTGCAGCCTGCTCCTGCTGTGGGGCCTACGGCGAGCTTCTTGACCTCTGGGGAGACCTCTTACTGCCCCCTCCGTCAGGAGCCCCCACCTCATAGGCAGACGGATGTGGTCACACTGTGTCAGCCACCTGACCGCAGTGACCACATGCCCTGGAATTTCCAGGCTTCCCCAATGTCCTGCCACACAGCTCACGAGCCATCAAAACATCCTGGGGACTCAGGGCCACGGCGTCCAAGCCACCTCCCTGCTGGCCTCCACCGTAAATGCCACACTTGGGACAGCACATGGTTCAGCCACATGACCGCCCCCACAGTCCCCCCTCAGCCCTCCCTGACCTCCAAGAGAACCTTCTGGGCCAGGCCTGTCCTTGGTTCTAGGCACCAAAGGCCTCAGTTACCCCCCCCCCTGCCCCCGGCCCCAGCCAGCTGGAGCCACAGCTGCCAAGTGCCCATCAGCCCTGAGCCCAGCATGCAGGGCCAGCAGTAGCCGTGGCCCGCTCCACCCTAAGGCGGGCGCCATGGCACCAGCAGCCAGCGGGGCCCGCACAGGGGCTGGCACAGGGCACTGCTGCTGGGCCCTCCGACTGACAGAGGCGGACCCTCGTCCTGACCTCAGCGGGTGACAGTGGCATCGGGGGAGAGGAAGAGCCAGCCCCCCCGAGCACCTCCCAGGCTTTTGCCCAGGACCCCATTTATGCTGCCCACCCCGCCACCAAGGAGGGGGTGCAGCCCCGTTATGCACAAGGAAGTAGGGGCTCCAAGAGGGAAATGGAGGCTGAGGCTGAACAGCTGTGGGGGGCACGGCTTCCTGGGCTCAGCCCTGCCGGGGCGGCCAGGCTGCAGGGAGGGAGTGCACACGTGCACATGCGTCCAGAGCCGCCAGCTCAGGCCCTTCATGCAGGAGGACCCAGATGGCCAGGAAGGGACCCGGCAGGACCTGGAGGGGGCCCTTCCTGTGGTTACACTCCAGGAAACCCCTGGCCAGGAAGCAATTGGCCAGAGAGGGGCTGGGGGCTCCCCCAGGCCCTGTCTCCACCCAGGCTCAGGGGCTCCAGCCTCACTCTGGGGGTAGCAGAGGGAGAAAGCTTGCCCAAGGGCATAGAGCAACCCGGCTGTGGCTGCTGCCCAAGCTGGAAGGCTGTGGTGCCGGGTGGATGACTTCTGCCCCACCGCCCCCCGAGCCAGGGCGGGGACACTCACGTGGAGGCTCAGCGAGCTCGCAGTCCCGGGTACCACACGGCCGGGAGCTCTCCGGCCAGGCCTCGTGGTCACACTGGCTGCTGTCTTCCTCGCGCAGTCCAGTCTGGGTGTTGACACACTTGACCAGCCGCCGCTGGACGCCGCCACCACAGGGGGCTGAGCACTGCGGGAGGTGGGGGTGAGTGCCTCGGGCCGTGTGCGGTGGGGGTTGCCTGCACTAGGAAGCCATCCTTGCACCTAACGGCCCCTCCTTGCTCCCCACCCCACCCCTCACACCTCCCTGGAGGGTCTGGCCAGTCCAGGGCCCACCACACATGCTCATTTGTGGACGTGCACCTGCAGGAGGGAGGGGGGAGAGAGGCCAGCCATGCCCACGAGGCCTCGGTGGGCGGCTGCAGGATGGAGGACCTGCTGCAGCATGGGCAGAGGAAGGGGGGGCCCACGGGGGGGGGGGCCCACCCCATCCTGAGTCGGGCTTTGTCCCTATCACTCAGGGTTAGAAATTTGCAAAAAGCCGTAAAAACAGTTCAGTCTGTGCCGACTGTGCCGGGCTGAGTGCCTCACTGCGCTACCTTTGCCCCGTCTACAGATAGGAAAATGGCTAGCAAGGCAAGATGACCTGCCGCGGTCACTCCACAGCCAGAGGACGGGGACACACTCCTGAACCTCTGAGCTCCAAGGAGGCCTGGCACAAGGGGCCCTGTCCACCCTCAGCTCGTGGCCACCCTTGCACCCCTTCTGCCCTTCACCTTTGCAGAGTGAATGCCCCCAGTGTCATTCCTGCCCCAGGACTTTGCACCTGCTGTCACCTGACCCTCTTCCTCCTGCAGCGTCCCTTCCCCGAGGAGCCTCCCCAGGCTGCGCCCCTCCACATTGCCCTCCCCATGAACAGTGGGCGGCTGGGGCCCAGCGCCTGCACCTTGAGCACCTGCGCCCCTGTGCCCTGCACACCCGCTCACCTGGCCCCAGGGCCCCACTGCCCACTGTGTGCAGGGCTGCGTGTTGCAGGGCTGTGTGCTGCTGGGTCTCAGCGCCTCCTCGCACAGGCCTGGCTCTGGGCAGGTCACCAGACGCTGCTGTTCGCCGCCGCCACAAGCCTCGGAGCACTGGGGGTGGGTGGGCAGGCGGGTCAGGCCACCGCAGGGTCTGAGGACGCCCCACCTCCCACCCCATACGCCCGGCCTCACCTCCCTCCAGGAGGAGGTGTACCAGCCGAGGCAGGGCTGGGCTCTGCAGTGCCGGCGGGCAGGCGGCTTTGGGGGCCCCGGCTGGCAGTGGAAGGGCCGCAGTGGCCGGAGGTCCCGAGTGTCCACGCACAGCACGTCCCGCACAGAGATCCCGCCGCCGCAGCTGCGGGAGCACTGGGACCACACAGGACCGAGTGAGGGGTGCGGCGGGTGGCCAGGCCCTGAACAGCCTGGTCGGAGCCCCCGCAGAAGGGGACAGATGGGGAGAGGAACAAAGTCGTGTGGGGGTGGAAGTGCCCAGGAGAGGGGTCAGCCAGTGGTGGCAGGTGGGGCAGGTAGCATCAGATGGGAGGGTTCCAGACACCAGGAGGGCAGCACGGGGGGCAAAGACCCTCGCAGGCGGCATCTGCCCAGGCCCGCTGCTCAGTGCACGCACCTTACCCCAGCTGCCCTTGTACCACATGGCGCAGGGCCGCAGGTGGCAGCGGCGCGCAGGCTGGGGCCGGCCAGCAGGGGCGCAGTCCTCCTCTCGGCCGGAGCTGCAGCGCACGGGCCTCCAGACGGCGCCCAGGCCACAGGTGGTGGAGCACTGTGGGGCGAGAGGCAGTGGCACTGGCTGCCCGTCAGGGTGGGTGGGCCACAGGGTGCCCAGGCCTGTTTCTGTACCTGCTTCACAGCTGTGCCATGGACCCTCACCCCAACCCCCGACCCAGGAGACCGAGGAAAAAAGTCAAACCTCAGCAGCAACTGTCCCTGCTCCGGGGACCCAGGGGAGGCCACCCAGCTGTCTTGACGAGGCCCTGCCTCCCAGAGCCACTGGGGGAGATGTGTCCCTCCCCAGCCACAGTCAGGGATGGCCATCGCCTGGGCCGGCTTCTTCCCAGGCAGCTCAGATCCCAGGCCCCTGACAGGGCAGGCTGGAGCCCCCGAGGACAGAGCGGTGGGCAGGTCCAGACCACCCCCGGAGGAGCCAGCTGGCCTGGGCAGCACCGGGCCTGGGGCCATGGGGGCCTCCCACCCACACAGCTGTCTGGGGGTCCCTTTGCTGGGAGTGTACAAGCCCAAATATGAAAGGATGTGCCCGGGGACCCAAGGCTGCTCAGGAGTGGGCCCTGGAGGCCAGAAACAGGCAGACTTCCCCACCCTGCCCGAAATAAGCCAGACAGGGCACATGGGCAGCGGGACTGAGCCGTGCAGTGGCCCCACCTGGCAACCCCTCCGCCCCCCAAGGCTGATCTCCAGCCCAGCGTCCCCAAGGGAGGCAGGCTCAGACCCTGCTCTGCTGTCCCACCTGAGGTCCTGCTCACGGCCCCAACCTGTCCGGACTCTGCCCACCTACCTCACTCCAGTTGCCCGCTTCCCAGCTGGCATTCTTGGCAGGCAGCAGGTCTGCCGGGCCCCCCAACTCAGCTGGGCTGGGGCCCAGAGGCTGCACCCCAGGGGCTCTGCTGTTCTGGGCTGGCGTGGACGGCAGCACGGAGCTTGGAGGCACCGCAGGACTGGGGGCCAGGGGGCTAGGGGACCAAGGCTGGCCTGGGGGCCCTGGGGCTGGGGAGGCCACCTGAGGTGTGTGCCCTCGGCCAGGTAGGGCTGTCAGAGGGGAGGCTCCTGACACTGCTGGGGTCCGCAGGTCCCGAGGAGCCAGTCCTGGGGTTGAAAGGGTGGGAATCCCTGGCTCCAGGGGGCTGTCTGTGCCTGGGGGCTCTGGCAGAGCGGCCGGGAGAACAGCCCTCCCCACAGTGGGCCACAGCTCCCTATCCGTGGGCCCCAGGCCACCCTGCAGGGCTGGTTCCCAGACCACCACCCTGCTGGTCCACAGCTCTACCGAGTCAGGCCCGGGCGAGGGGTGGGCAGTGCCGATGGAGGGGCGGGGGGGCGGCACGGGGCCGGGTCTCTGGGGCAGTGGGGGCACCTCGTTGTCCTCGGAAACCTCGTTGGTCCTCTCCCACCTTGGGGGCGGTGGCTGGCTCTGGCTGTCGCCCGCTCCCAGAGGTCTGTCTGTTCTCCCTGGGGTGGTAGGCATCTCCACCCCACCAGCTGAAGCCGGGGGCCCACGCGAGCCAGGGAGCCCAAGGTCTGGGGCCCCCATGGGGGTGTGTTCCTCGGGTAAGAAATTTTCAGAGGGGTTCCCAGGGGTCTGGTCTGAGGGTGGGGGCGGCACAGGGCCAGCCTGGCTAGGCCAAGGGGCAGGGGCCTGACTCCCCAGTGCCCCCTCCTCGACCGCAGGAGGCTCTGTGGCAGGTGTGGGAGTGCCTGTGGGGGGCTCATCAGGGCGGCTCAGGGGTGGGGGCGTCCAGTCCCCTGTGCCCGCCAGTTCCGGGTCAGCCTCAGGCTCCTCAAAGGGCCCATAGGACAGGTCCTCGTGGAAGTTGATGAAGTTATAGTCGTAGTAGAAGTCGTCCACGAATATGGGTCCTGGCAGGTCCCGGGCAGGGCCCTCACCCCCAATGGCATTGCCTGTGCTGGCCGGCTCTGGGGAGGGGGGTTGTAGGGGGTGTGGGGCGCTGAAGGTGATCTCATTGAAGAGCTCTGAGCTGGAGGAGCCGCTGCCGGAGCCGTCGGGACCCAGCGCATCCAGGCCCTGCAGGCAGGGTGGCAGAGTGCAGACGGCCTCACCCGCTGGCCGCCGGGCCTCCTCACACAGGACTTGGGTGTTGTTGGCGCAGAGGACGCTCCGGTGCTGAGTGCCTGCCCCGCATGTCACCGAGCACTACAGGGGAGGTGGGGTGAAGATCTCAGGCCGGAAGCTGGGCCCACCGCTCGTCAGCACAGCAGAAGCCTCAGCCCTCCTGGCCCAGCCAGCTCGGGACCACATGGTCGTCTGCTGAGGCATCCTGGTCCCCGAGGCTTGGGGCACAGGGCTGGCCCTGGGATGCCCCAGCCGGGACCACGTGTGGGCCAGCAACGGCTCCCATAGGCCATCTCTGCCGCCAGGGGAGTTGGGGGCAGCCCCTCCCCCCTGACGCTCACCTGAGACCAGTTCCCCACAGCCCAGGTGGCAGGACAGGGCACCTCACGGTTGCAGGGCTTCTCAGCCGGGGGCTGGGGGAGGGGCTCACAGGCAGGCGGCTCCAGGGCACTCTGCTCATCCAGCCCCACGCTGCGAATGCAGAGCACGGACCGGCGGGAGAGGCCCCCGGGCCCGCAGGAGCGGGAACACGCCTGCCACTCACCTGCCCACCACCTGCAGGCAGACGGGCATCAGCGTGAGGCTGGCTGGACGCGCAGGACTGGGGCCAGGTGGGTCAGGTCTAAGCCAGGGACCATCCCCCAGAGCTCCACGTGGTCGGCAGCCTAGCCCCCAGGTCGCCTTTGTTCCTGCCACCCTCCCCCAAGGGGACTGGGCAAACCCCCAGGGACCGGAACACGAGTGACCAGGGGCGTCCCAGGCTGGTGCTCACCACAGAGGCGAACAGGCCCAGAGGGAGTGTGGGGCAGGCCGGGGCTGGGCTCCAGCCTTGGGACAAGGCCGAGAGGCCCGCTCCCTCTGCTTCCTGGGGCCCCCATGGAGCCTGCCGCACGGGCCCGCCCTGCAGTCAGGAGCGGCTGTGAGGCAGCTGCCAGGGGCTCACCGGGCGGGGCAGGGCTGCTGGCTGCATGTCCTCTGGTGGTCGGCCGGCCGGCCCAGGGGGTTACAGTGTCTCTGGTCCACCAGCCCCGCCTGCCGCTCGGCGCAGTATACGCTCTGTGTCTGCACACCTAGGGGGCGAGGGCTCAGCCAGGCCTGGCACTAAGGGCCCCGCCCCAGCCGCCGGCACCCAAAGACAAGTCCCTGAGCCCAGAGCCCTCCCAGGACGGGACCCACTGCCCGTCTCCGTCCTCCGGACCGTCACCACTGTCTCCAGGCAGGGCGTGGAGCAGAGGTTCAGTGGGGGGGGGCCCAGCCCTGCAGCCTGCTAGCTAGGGGGCCTTGGGCCTTGGGTCTCTCTAAACCTCAGTCTTCATCTGCTAATGGGAGCAATAATGTCTGCCTCCAAGCCTGGGCATGAGGCTGGCAAGGTCATGCGTGTCGTGTGCAGGCTTTGCCCACGCCTGGTACATGGCAGGAGCTCAAGAGCCAGCCACTCCTAGTGTACAAATCCTAAGGTTTGCCCCACCGTCCACACCCCTCCCAACAAGCTCAGCGCTCCGAAAAAGGCTGGGGAAGAGATTCCTCAGACCACCTGGAGCCCCCACTGCTGGCCCCAAGCTAGCTCTGTCCTTCTCACCCTCTGCCGTCGCCCCCGGGACCTCTGCACAGCTGTGCCGTTCCCCCCAGCCCCAGGACCCACTCAGTCCCTACCTTCACCCCCACTTCCTCACTCACAGAAGGCAGGCTTTGCTCAGGGGAACGACGGGTCCTGCAGAATCCTAGCGGCCCTGTGCGGGCCTCCGCTCCATTGGGGTCAGGCCTGCACCATTTCCCCGGGCCAGGAACGTGGCCAGGGGTGCAGAGGGAGGACCCCACTTGTGACCCCCAGGAGAGGAAGGCAGGGCTGAGAGGGAGGAAGGCCCAGGCCAAGCGCCAGCCAGACTGTGCACCCTGGGGACTTCTCAGAGCAGAGACAAGCCCCTTTCTGCTCCAGCCTCCAGTCCGTCCTACCTCTTGCAGCTCAGCACATCCCTGACTCATCGTCCCCGAGGCCCCCAAGTCTGGCTCACCCTATGTCCATTCTCACTTTGTAAACTCAGAGACACTCCTGTTGGCTGCTTTAACAGAGGTCGGGATGTCCGCCAGGCTTTGGTGGGCCTGTTTTGTTCTGTCATCCTAACAGCATTTTAAGGAATGCTCAGCGGTCCCTGCCCCAGATTCCTGACATGCGATCCCTGGACATGGACGGGTGAGGGAGGGGGTCAGCCAAACTATCACATGCCTACAAGAAGTGAAAGGGAGCAAGGGGATGTGCTGAGTGGGCTCAGAGCTGGTGGGTCCGGGTCACGTGGGGAAGCCCCTCCCGGGGTCAGAGCCCACGATTCGCAGGATCTGGGCCCGGGCAGGGCTGGAGGCTCCAGGGAGGCAGTGCCAGCTCTCCAGTGTGGAGCAGAAAGGTCAGGATGAGACCCACAGAGCTGGGCAACGAGAACATGAGGGGCAGGTAGCCATGCCTCCGGGGGAGTGCCAGCAGATGGGGCACAGAGCCCACCGTTGGGGCCAACTCTGCCCCACCTCCCCACCTCCCAGTGGGCCTCTGAGGTGAGACTCGTGCTCCATTTCACAGATGAGGACACAGGCCCAGGGGCACAACCTCCAAGCTCCACCAGCCCTATTTTACAAATAGGGAAACCGAGGCCCAGAGGCATGCTGTCCAAGTCCACGGTGCCCAGCAAATATGCAGAGCTGCAACCCAGCATCGCTGCCCAGACAAGGCCCTGTGGGGCAGCCACTGCCCACTGCTGCCCTCACCTGCACCACAGGTGACCGTGCACTCAGTCCAGGGCCCATAGTGCCAGAAGAACTCAGGTGGCCGGACCTGGCTGTGACTGTCTGCCTCCCTGTGGACGGTGTACTCATAGCGCACGCCGGGGTTGCTCTCCTGGAACAGGATCTGCGGCAGGCAGGCGGGGGCCGTGAGTGCACGGAGATACCCACTGGATGCCCCAGACTAACTGCCCCCCGCCTGGTCCTCGGCAGCAGGCACCTGGATCCAGACCGGCTCGTCGGTGGGCCCAGGGGCAGTGAGGTTCTCCCAGTTGCCCGCGCGTGCGTACGTGAACGTGGTGCCCGCCACCTGGTAGTCCCCATTCCACTGGATGGTCCAGCCACCGTTGAGGAAGTACTTCTCTGGGTCCTCGCTCCGCAGGGCCAGGAAGTTGGCCGCCTCAGCCACCTCCTCAATGCGGATCTCACGGGCGCCCGCCGGGATCAGCCCCACATCCACGTACCCTGGTGGCCGAGGTCACGCACAAGGTGGAGGGCTGCCCCCCCGCCCCTCACCTCTCGTCCCACATTCCCTCTCTCGCCCCTGCCTGCTGTTGCCAAAGATCCTACTGTTAGCTTAAGAATCCGAGCTCCCCCGAAAGGCAGGCGCTGGATCTACCTGTCACCAAGACCTCAGGGGCACAAACCTGTGGCCCGCAGCCCATCACCCTCTCCCGGAGACCCTAGCAGTGCCGTGCCTCAGGCTGGGCCCTTGCACTGGGCCAGACGGCCTCTCCCCAGGCCCCTCAATCCCACATGGCTGGCTTCAGTGCCTTCTCTTAAGCAGTGCCCATCGTGTGCCCACAGAACTAAGCCCTGTGCCCCATAACATAGGTGCTGTGATCCCGTCATATATGGGGAAACGGAGGCCAGGGAGGCACGTTAGGCCCCAGGTTCTGCCGGATACAAAGTGGACTCCCAGCCTGACCCTTCCCACCCCACGGCACTGTCTCCCATGCTGCCGCAACCCATGCCTTTCCCAGAGATGCTTGCCTCCACCCCCACTTCACGCTTTGGGGGGCACAAGCCCCTTCTGCCTGTGCAATGACTCCCCATCTTGTGTGCATCTTTTATCTTGTCTGTAGCACAACTCCTGCCTCCTACAGGAAGTCCCTGACCTCCCCGGGTCAGGACTCTCTTCCCCAGTCTCTCAGCTCTGAGCCTCCCCACCCTGTGTTGGTCACCCTAAAAGGTTCTGTCACCCTGTCAGACCATGAGCTCTTCACCCCCTCGTCCCCCCCACCTAGGACAGTTGGCACTCAGAAACAGGTCCTGAGGGGAGGAAGTGGAGCTGGGGGTCTCTGAAGCTTCCTAAGACAGCACCAGCCCTCTGGGAAGGCAAAGCCAGATGGGCTCGCCTGGGGTCCCTGGGGCAGGAGCCCATGAGGACAGGTGCCCACACCTGGGCCACAGTGCCCGCCCTGCAAGGACCTGGGCCAAGCAAGGTGGCTGCCCTGCTCCCCATCTATAGCCTGGGTGGGGACCGTGGGGTCAGAGGGCAGGGCATCAGGGGAGATGAAGAAGGGGCACCCTGCGTCCCACCAGGGGCCCTACCCCATACCCAGGCCCTCGGCTTCCTCGAAGGTCCCGCTCACGGTGTGACAGGTGGAGCCATTGCCATGGCACACGCCGCACCGGTCCTCCATGGCACTGGAGTCGATCTCGAGGTCGCAGCCGACGCTCTGCAGCACACGGGGAGGGGGCCTGGTGCCAGCACTGCCACCAGCCCCCAAGCCCTGCCCTCTGCTGGGCCCTCCAGCCCCAGGCCCCAGGTGAACCACTGGCCTCTCTGGGCCCTGTATGGAAGGCTGCAATAGGTGGGGAGCCAGCTCCCTGGGGACCCCTGAGAAGTGTTGACAGCTCCTGGAAATGGGAGTCACATCAAGGCACAGCGGCTGGCACCCCGAGGTGGGCTCCTTCTGAGCCTGGGCCTCTACGCCCAGTGGCTTCGTCCCAGGGGCAGGGTAAAAGGAGGCTGGGGGGCACAGGCCAGGAGGAGAGGCCACCGCTGTGGCTAGGGATGAGCATTGCCAGCAGACTCGGATGCCTACTCTGCCAGGCTGGAGCCTGGCTCAGCCACACTGAACCCTGTAAGGCACAGGGGGAAACCATTGCCTGGGGGCATCCACCCAGCAGGTCAAGCCACTGGGCCCTGGCCGGACTGGGCAGTGCCTGCATGCCCTGGGGAGGAGATGGGAGGCCCCGGGCAGGGCTGGTGGTGTGCGCCTGCCTGTGCGGGCTCTGGCGCCAGCAGAGGCGCTTTGCTGGGAGGTGGTGGGACACCACCAGAGGGCTTTGCTGGCAGAGCTGGGAAGCCTGAGGGCACAGCCTGGGGGGACCCACTGGAGGCCTGCCAGGGCGTAGGGGCAGGCCCGGTCGGAGACCCGTCCTCTCCAGCGCACCTTGCAAATACCATTGATGCAGAGGTCGCGGCTGGCCTGGTAGCAGGGGGTGCCGTCCACCACGGCGTCCCGCAGCTTCTCAGCAAAGGGCTCATCAGAGGGCCTGCAGTGCAGCTCACAGGGGCTCTCTGGGGGCCCAAGTGCAGGAGCCGTGAGGACAACCGGGGCAGGGGGCCCATCAGCCACCAGGAAGACAGGCTCCACGACACACACCAGCAGCAGGCCAGGGCCAGCGCGGGGCAGCCGGGGCTGGGCCCTGCCTGGGAGGCTGGGTGGACTGGCCCTCAGGTCCCCACCCCCGTGTCCCTGGGTGATAGGACTCACCGTCATTGATCACAGGCACCCACGTGCGCCGCTGGCCCTTGTAGAGCATGACGTCAAAGCGGCTGCACTGGACGTGACGGAAAGATGGGCGGCCGGGCGGGCAGGCCTGCAGGCTGCAGAGCCGGAAGCGCTTCCTCTCCCCCACACAGTATTTGCCCATGTACTTGGGCCTGTGGGGAGGGCAAGTGGGCTGCGTGGGTGCCCAGCACCTGCTCCGCAGCTCCTGCACACCCTGCCACCGGCCTTGGCTCTCTGGGCTGCCCCAGGCCACCTGCCCCACTCTGGCCCGGACACGCTCCCCCTGTTCTATAGGATTGAAGGAGAGGTGGCAGCAGGGAGCCCGGGCTGTGCCCCAGGCCGCTGTGTGGCTGTGGGCAAGTTTTCGGGCTCTCGGGCCCCAGTTTCCTCATCTATAAACCAGGGTTGGGGACGGTTTCCAGGCTGGGGCTGTGAGCGCATCCACGTCACGCAGCGCCCATCCCATTGACCGGCTCCCCCTGCCATCCCCAATCCCATCTGGGACCTTGTGTGCCCCTGATGCGGCTCAGCCTCCTGCCACAGAGCGTGCCGCAAGCTGCAGGGTGCCCGCTCTACCCGCATTAACTGCATTTGTCTGGACAGCGGCTCTGCTGGGTAGGCTCTGCTCTCACCCGATCACACACTTTCTCTGGAAACTGAGCCCAGAGGAGGGGAGAGGGGAGTTGCCCCTGGATTCATGTGAGACCCAGAGGTGAAGCCCTGGGCCTCTGCCCTCTCCTGCCTCCGGCCAGCTGTTGCTCTGTTGTCTGAGCAGTGACGCTCCCCTCTCTGCAAGGCTGTCAGCAGTGGGGCTCTGTCACCCCCAGGGTGCTCTGAGAAGTGACCTATGGTGGCTCTAGACACTCCAGGCCTGGCCTCTGTGGGACACTTCTGAGAGCGGGAGGCTGGGACAGAGCCAGGCTCCCTGCAACCCAGGAATTCTGCTGGGCTCTGGACCCCACCTGCCCCAGCCCCCCTCCCTGCACTCACGTGGGCTGCGTGCACCGCCGCTCAGCGCTCTGCACGCCCGTGCCACAGCTCCGTGAGCAGACGGACCAGCCGCTCCAGCCAGACCAGCCGCCGTCCACAGCCGCAGGCCGGAAGCCCACAGGAACGCACTCCCCGTTCAGACACCACTGCCGAGACAAGGACACAGTAACCCCACCCCAACCTGTCCACCATCCTCACCCCAGCAGAATGAGGTAGGTGAAAGGCCCAGAAAGGCAGAGGGGAGGGAGGGTGGAAGGAGTGGGGGAGCTCCTAAGGGATGGGGGTCCGCTGAGAGCGGTGCGTGTGTGACGTGGTGAGAGCAGGCCCGCCTTCCAGGCACCCAAGACCCGGGCCCCAGGGTGGAGCTGAGCAGGGACTGAAACAGCCTCTGGGCGGGATGCCTTAGAGAATCTGGACTCAAGCCCTGCTCTGGTACCTCCACTCTGCAGGTGGGGATCTTGGCTGGGAGGGTGCCCGGGGGGTCCGCTAAGAGCACACGCAGGTCTGTGAGCCAAGGCCGACCCCAGAGGTCGGACAGCGCAGGAATTCTGACCTCTCACCCCACCCTTGCACAGCACGGATGGGGCACCTCCTACCTTGTTCTCCCCACACCTGGTACCGTCCACGGCCGCGTCCAGCTTGGAGTGACAGGTGGTACCCACGGAGCACCAGAGTGTGTGGCAAACATTCTACAGGAGGAGGGCACAGCCACACCTTCACCCACTCCGGGGCCACCGCCCGCCCTGCCCCTTATTACCCCGAGAGTGCCTGGGCGAGGCTGGCACCAGCTGCTCTGCAGGAGGGACTCCCAGAGGTTGCCCTGGTCTTCCCTGAACCATGGGGCCCTGTGGAGCGCAGGGCTCAGGCCTGCTGCTCAGAGCAGCCCCAGCTCCCATTCCCCTCACGGCCCAGCCCCCATCCGGAGAAACCCGTCAGAAGCCTCGGGGTCTCCGTGACGTGCCTGTGGCCCCCACGACCCCACAGCATAGGCTTTACCCCCTACAGCCCAGCTCTGGGGAGTGACGGGCTTACCCAGTGCCCCTCAGTTGGTAAATGTCCCCATGCCCAACCCGAGGCCACGGCCAGAAGGGTCTGCAGGCAGTGAGGGGGGCCCACCCCATGCCCCACTCACATCCATGTCATCGCAGAAGGCCGAGTAGGCCCCGTACTGGAGGCGGCACTGATGGCCCACATCGTAGAGGACGCCGGGTGGCACAGATGGGAAGTCGATGACGTCCTTGGCGGGAGGGTCGTCCAGGCACAGGCCCCACCCACGGCTGCAGACAGGGAAGGAGGGTGGGGTGAAGGCTCAGGACAGCCTGGGAGACCCACAAGGGAGGCCAGCAGGGCTGGAGGGCAGGGAGGGGGGAGGGGCTCAAAGCCCTAACCCTGCAGGAGAGCCGAGGCTCCGGGCACACCCGGCCTACGCGATGACCCCAACTCAGTGTTTCGTTTCTCCGTCCTGTCTCCCGGGCACTCACCCGGCTAAACTGCCCCCATGCATGAGGGCCAGGCCTGCCCCTACAGTGCCCTCCTTGCTCTAGGCAGAGCCTCTCTCCTTAAGCCGGGGCCCAAAGCCCCTTGGCCCTGGCATGCTGGACAGCCAAGCCCTCCGTGGCCCTGCCCCGCCTCCCTGCAGCCTGGGCCCTGGGCCGCCTCTGACAAGGATCTGGAGAGCCTCACATCACAGCCCCTGCAGCAAGAGCCTCTGCTGGCCCTGCCCGGCTCAGGCCTCGGGTCATGTGTGGGAGGACCGAGGCCTAGAAAGCCCAGGGCGCCGCCCTGCCCGCCTCTGGCGCCCAGGACCGGCCCACTGCCCTCACCGGGTCCGGGTGGGCACCCACACAGGAGCAGGAGTGCACTGCCTGCCGGCCGGCCAGCCCCAAGCCTTGCTGCTGCTCTGGACGAACCGAGAGGCCGGGCCTAGTGGGGAGGGCGGAGCCATGCAGAGAACCAGGGTGGGGGCAGCAGGTAGCAAGGGCTTGACAGAGGCAGAAGGGGTGGCAGGTGTGCAGCTTGACCCCACCAGGCAGGTGGGGGAGGCAGGCACCCTCCAGTTTCCTAGTCTGGGCGCGTGAGGGCAGCTGGTGCCCAGTTGGGGAGCCAGGATGAGCAGAGCGCCCTGGGCAGGAGCAGAGAGGCACGGGGAAGATGGGCAGGGGCACGATGGATGCCACAGGGAGGGAAGGGGAAGCCACAGGACGTGGAGGGATCGGGAGAAGCCCAGTGTGGGGAGAGGCTGGGGCAGATGTCAGAGTCAGAGGTCGGGGGTGTGAGATTCAGGGTGGGGTGGATGGTCCCTATGATGTCCTAAGCCCCCTGGCTGGTGGTGGACCCCGGGGGGAACAAAGCTTCAGTGGCAGATCCCTGCTGAGGACTCGGGGAACCCCCCGGGATCACTGGGCCACCTGTGCTAGCTGGAAATGGACCTGCTACAGTGGACGGCAGCAGCGAGCAGCTTCTGGACCCAGCCCTCCACCCTGACGGCCACAGGCCATCTCGTGCGCTCCTCGCATGCCCTGGGCAGACCATACCCATCTTCTTGCCCACCCAAGCCTCAGGCAGTGCATCACCTGCCCCATGTCACACCAGAGGTCAGTGAGGTCAGGACCTGATGCCAGGCCCAGGCTGCCAGCCCACCCAAGCCCACTCACTGGACTGCCACCAAGCAGGGCTCCTCCCACCTGACCACCAGCCTAGCCTCAAACACTTCACCCCATGTATAAGTTCACCCCAAGTATAAACCATGGCAGCCGAGGCCTAGTGGGGAGAGAGGAAGGCTCTGCCTGCCTCAGTGGGGCTCCCTGGGGCTGCAGCCTGGCGCAGAGCATTGGCTGGGGGCCTCTTCTCTTCTCCTGGCAGACAGCAGCTCAAGACGTGGGCCGGGGGCTTCAGAGACTCAGCCCAAGGCCACGTGCAGCCTGACTGGGACCCATGTCAGCTCCTGTGGGCCCGGCTGTCAGAGAAATGGCCGGTTGGGTCCATCCTACGAGGGTGTGAGAGGTCAGGGTGGGGGCCTCACAGTACCACCGCCAGAATCAGGGCCAGTCCAGGCCAGGTGCTGACTATAGAAACCCAGCTTCTCCTCTGCCCAGCTGCAGACACTGGGTGGCCTTGGCCACTGCCACCCTCTCTAGGCCGCCCTGTCCTTGTCACAGGACACCAGGCTACCTGTGATCCAAACCGCAGGGGCAGAAATCACAGCCTCCACCTGGGAAAGTCAGAGGCGGTGGCCGGCCCTTCCTTCCTCTAGCGGCTCACTCCTTCCATCACTGCCCACACACCTGCCCCCAAGCCCCTCGGGGCCTCTTCACTCTATTACGGCAGGACTGGGCGGCCCCACAGGGTCTGAGCCAGCAGTGGGGGGCTCCAGTGAAGATCCACCCCACCTCAAGGACTGCTGAGAGCTAGATACCCGCAACTGTGTGCCCTCTCCCCTCGTCACCCTGGGGTCCCGGTCCTGGAGTCGCCGGATGGTGGGGACATGGGTGAAGTGAAGGACCTCCCCACCCCTCGGGGGTTCCCCAATGCCACTCTCAGCCCAGAAGGCAGGTCCCGGCTCTGCCCCCTTGGACTGACCAATGCCTATGGGCTCCAGAAACCTTCCCCCGCTCACGCCCACCTGCTGAGGCTCCCCAGCCACCCCATGCCCTCCACTGGGCACCCTTCCTCCCCAGGAAGCTCCATTAGTCTTTGGAAGGCAGCCCCTGGGCTCCTGAGACATGATGTCCTGGACCCAGACGGCTTGGTGCATCTCTCCAGACCCCTACAAAGCCTAGGAGGACCGTCCACCATGGGCCTATGGCTCAGATGGTGAGGGCACCGAGGATGGCACGTCCTCTGTCTCCTTACTCTGGACCCAGGCACCTGCACGCTGGTGTTGCTCATGGGCCAGTCTGAGACTGAGTGGCATTTGCTCACATCTGGGTCTGGGGCCGATAAACGTCTCTCCACAGGGGCTGGGGGCACCCGTGGGGACAAGGGGGTGGCCTGAGAGTGCCTCTGAGCCTCCCCTGAGCCCTCAGAGCACCCCTGACCCCACTCAGCACCCAGCACTCAGGCTCACTTGGTACCTGACCCAGTTGGGAGCTTGTTATCTGCCCCCCCATCCAGTGGGACACAGGGTACCATGCTGTCTGAGCACCCCTCTCTCCGGGTTTCCCTGGCCTGTGACCCCCTCCGCCCAGGCCCCCAGGATGGACAGCAGGGAGCAGGAGGCCTCAGGAGATGAAGGGCCTCCTCGGCATCTCTCACGGGGCTTGCTTCTCCCTATCTTTCCACCTCCGCCAGCTCTTCTTCGTGCCAAGGTTCTAGGGGGTGTGGCAGCCCCAGGCTCTCCCCACCGTCTCCTCATCCTGGCCCCAGGCCCAGGGCCAAGTCCCTCACACATTCCTTCCAGCTGCTGACTGAAGACAGAGACCATCTGTCTGTGCTGGTGCACCCCGGGGGGGCAGCTAGGAACAAGCCCCCGGGCTGTTGCAGGGGTGCCTGCTCTCCGGTTTTCCAGCCATTCTTGCGCTGCCTGCCTCCATCTGGTGGAAGAGACACACCCTTGGGATTTTTTCAGCCCTGCTCTCCCTGCCCAGCCCCATTTCCTGGTTCGTTCAGGTCGTGTCTGGCATGGCCTTGGCACAGTGATAAGTCACAGCATCGAAGCTCACCGCGTGGTTGGCGCTATGCTCAAAACCTGACATGTTCACTCACTGAATCCTCACAGCAGGACCCACCAGGCAGCTGCATCCTTACACCGAGTTTTTGAGGCTTAAGGGCTAATGAAACTTGTCTGCCAACACGCATAGAAGCCTGGGCCAGAGTACAGGTCCTTAACCACCACACTCAAGCCCTCCCTGCTTCCAAACCCACTGCCCACTGCAGCAGCCCCCCAGCCGAGGCCAGAGTTCTTGTTCTCACTCCATAATGGACGTGGTCCGTTCCCCGCTTTAACCCCACCACGGGTGGACTTCTAGAAAAGCATGGCAGCGTTGAGCAGATGGATCTCCACTCCCTTCCAGAACCCCTCGATGAGGACAGCAAAGGAATAAGCATAAATCCACAGGGACAAAGGGCGAGGCAGGGGTGATGATGGCAGACGGAAGATGTTGGCAACATTCTGGGAGCTGGAAAGCAGACAGCCAAGTGGCGCTGCTGTGGTAGAGCTGAGGGGCCTGGAGCCACATCCTGGGGGGAGGAGCCGCCCGAAGCAGAAGCAGGACTTGGGAATGAGGGGCCCAGGGACCCGAGGCGCCAGGCCTGAGGACCAGAGCCCGGCTGAAAGTCTGCAAGAACACATCAGGCCCCAGACCCCCTCCCCAGCCCTGTGCGGCCCGGTGATGGCCGCCTTCCTACTAGTAGAGGACGGGGGCTCATTCTCTGAAGAGGGTGACCCAGGATTATGCCCAGGAATGCCAGACACAGTTGATGACCCTACAGAGAAAAGGGGACAAACGGAAGTCCACACAGTGACAGGTGAGACCCTGCCAAGCCCCTTCCCCATTTGGATGGATGCCAGATTGCTACAGCCAGACTTACATCCTCCCGGAAAAAGGCTAGAGAATTCTTCCCCAGGGAAACCTCATGGCTCAGAAAAACATTGGTACCTGAAGATCTCCCGAGGAGACAGCCCCATCCCAGCCAATCCTCGGCTCTGACTTGAGAAAGCCCCACCTCTTCTGCAGACCCCCAGCTTGTGTCCAGTGCCTCCTTCCATGACTGAAATATAGCCAAGCCATTTTAAGAAAACCTTTAACACAAAATAAAGACTTTTAAAAATAATGCAAAGGAAATAAAGACCTTGAAGGGAGCAGAAGAAAAAAAATTAAAACCACATAAGTAGTAACCTCAGAAAGATGAGACAACACCACACCCTAGAAACAAGAAGAAGGCTATAAAAAGAAGTATTTAGTGAATAAGAAAGTTCAGAAAGTTAAAAATACAACAGAAAAAAAAAAGAGGATTATAAGGTAAAGATAAGAATGTCATCCAGTCAAAGCCTAATTTGGCTATCCCGAAAATGAACTAAGATA